GCCAGTTTTTAGCCCTTCGTTTCCAGAGGTTGCTGCTCAAGACACCAGCCGATGAAACACTGCAATTAAATAACTACAAGCAGCAACCACTTTTCGTGCAAAACGAAGTCCAAGCTACGAAGATGCTGCTGCAGTTCTGTATCTTTTCTCTCCTGCTCCATCTGCAGCTCTCAGTTCCATCAGACGGGGCGGGAGGAGGGGGGGGGGGGAATAGCGCCTGAAGTAAACCCACAGATCAGACCATCTATGCTAGGTTTACCACTACAAATCTATGGGAGAAGCGCTTTCGGTCTTTCCCTTGTAGCCCTTGGAGCACCTGCCCACGCCTCCGCCTCCTCCTCTTCCTCCTCTCTCTGAACTGCTTTCTCTATGGTTGCCCTTGCTCTCCTCTCCTCTCAAGGCTCCTCAGCAATTCATAGGCCATGCCAGGCTGCCCATCTCATCCGGGTCCTTCAGCGGCACAGTCGCAGTACGGCCTAGCGGGAGCGGCAGCGAAGACGCTCAGGAGGAGGATGGCGGCAGAAGGGACCGAGGCTCCCGCCAGTCCCGGTGGGGAGGGGCTCCCAGGGGCCGAGGCTGGTGAGAGGAGGCTGGAGGGGGGCGGGGCGGGCAGCCGAGCAACACACTTGGAGCCTCCCTCCTCCCTGGCCGGCAGGGAGGGAGGGAGGGAGAGGAGCTGCTTCCTTTGAAACCCGGGAAATTTAAGGGACATCCATCAATAAGGGACAGCAGCGGGACATGGCGCTGGGATAAGGGACTGTCCCTCCAAATAAGGGACGCTTGACAGCTATGAAGCTGAATGATGTGTAGATGGTCCAGTATACAGTGGTACCTCTGTTCTCGAATGTCTCCGTTGACAAACATTTCAGGACGCGAATGCCGAAAACCCGGAAGTAAATGCTTCCTGTATTATTTATGCAAATTGATTTTCTCTGGAGTTAAAGATCTGACCGGGACAAACCTTGTTATGTTGAGCTTGTATGTTGCACAATTTGTATACGGTGTCTGTTTGATAATGTGTGGTTTGCTATGCCTAATAAAGGATCTTGATTGCTAAATACTGCCGTTTTCGAATGCGCCTCGGATTTCAAACGGCTTCCGCTGTCTGTTTTTCAATTTTCTCAATTGCATTTGCAGCCAGCCCTTTGTGCATTGGTTTTCAAAGGTTTCGGAACTCAAACGGTCTTCCGGAACGGATTACGTCTGAGAACCGAGGTACCACTGTAATCCCATAAAGGTAAAGGGACCCCTGACCATTAGGTCCAGTCGTGACCGACTCTGGGGTTGCGGCGCTCATCTCGCTTTATTGGCCGAGGGAGTCAGTGTACAGCTCCCAGGTCATGTGGCCAGCATGACTAAGCCGCTTCTGGCGAACCAGAGCAATGCACGGAAACGCCGTTTACCTTCCCACCAGAGCGGTACCTATTTATCTACTTGCACTTTGACGTGCTTTCGAACTGCTAGGTGGGCAGGAGCAGGGACCGAGCAACAGGAGCTTACCCCGTCGCGGGGATTCAAACCGTCGACCTTCTGATCAGCAAGTCCTAGGTTCTGTGGTTTAACCCACAGCGCCACCCGCGTCCCTGTAAACCCATAACGAATGCACTATTTTTGTACCCATCACATAGCTGAAGGGCTGTCATGTGGAAGATGGAGCAAGCTTGTTTTCTGCTGCTCCAGACAGGGGTCAGCTAACTTTTTTCAGCAGGGGGCCGGTCCACTGTCCCTCAGACCTTGTGGGGGGCCGGACTATATTTTTTTTTGGGGGGGGGGGATGAACGAATTCCTATGCCCCACAAATAACCCAGAGATGCATTTTAAATAAAAGGACACATTCTACTCGTGTAAAAATACACTGATTCCCAGACCGTCCGCAGCCCGGATTTAGAAGGCGATTGGGCCGGATCTGGCCCCCAGGCCTTAGTTTGCCTACCCATGCTCCAGAGATTAGGACCCAAACCAGTGTTTCAAATTACAAGAGATTCTAACTAAGCGCTAGGAGGGACTTTCTGACAGTAAGAGCTGGTCATCAGACTACCTTGGAAGGTGATGGACTCTCCTTCATTGGAGAGAAATACAAAACAGAAAGAGAAAAGGGTGTTCGCAAGAGTAGGTTGCTGGGGAAATATTATGACCAATTACTGAAGCATAGTTGCTGCTAATGATATGCTCCCCCTCACAGACCTCCAAGTAGTTTAATAGAAGCACAAATGCTCTCAGGTTTTTCCATGTACTTTTAAATTTCAGAACTCAGCCCATTAATAAAATGGGGGGGGGAGTTATGAAAATAGCAAATCTTCAAGTATGTTTATTTGAAATCCAGGCCAGCCTTGAGTTTTTGGAGTCAAAGAGGTTGATGGTAAAACAGTATTTTACAGCCCATATTTTTAGGGTGTATTGAAGTGAAGGGGAATGTTTTCCACAGTGCACTGGGTGGAAATTGCTTTGGTGGTTGTTCAGATGGGGCTCATATACTTTGTCACCAAATATTTTTCTTGCACAGTTCTAAACGTGCTTTAATTTGCTCCCAGAGTTGTCGTCATCGCTATGGTACAAGTTACTAGAGAGAGGGCCTTTGCCAAGTTACGTAACTGACATATGTATGCACAAATTTTCAGCGACAGATTCATGAACAGTGATTTATAAGTCAATGACTTTTGACACAACAGATTCTGTGATGTATATATAGACAGCTCATACATTTAAAAAAACCCCAATTTGCTGAAATAGGTCTGGATTTTGTGAAAACCCAATACGTAAAAGATAATTAAGCAAATTTGACCACATTTGTGCATATATATTTTTGCATGCATGTTTTGTAAATTCATGACCTAGACTCTCTTTCTTCCTCCTTTCCGGTGACCCCAATCTAAGTTACACTGACATCCAGCTGGAACCAATGGAAAATTACCGTATTTTTTGCTCTATAAGACTCACTTTTTCCCTCCTAAAAAGTAAGGGGAAATGTGTGTGCGTCTTATGGAGTGAATGCAGGCTGCGCAGCTATCCCAGAGGCCAGAACAGCAAGAGGGATTGCTGTTTTCACTGTGCAGCGATCCCTCTTGTGTTCTGGCTTCTGAGATTCAGAATAATTTTTTTTCTTGTTTTCCTCCTCCAAAAACTAGGTGCGTCTTGTGGTCTGGTGCGTCTTATAGAGCGAAAAATATGGTATTTAATTCAGGGGTTGCCAGTCTGGTGCCCAGGGGCACCATGGCATCTGTGAGTGCTTTCTGTGGTGCCCTTGAACAGGTGCCTCAGACTTAGCTTTCATTTTTAAGAAATATGCCTCTAGAAAGAATATTATGGGGTGAAATGTACAGGTATCTTCTCGAAGTGTTTTCTGTGAAATGAAAGTGAATGTGGTATGGACCCTTGGCTATCTTCTTCTGTTGCTTTAAGACATCCGCAGCTGATACACTGTGCCACAACCAGGACCAGCGGGCACAGCTGACCTATCAAGCCTAAGCCTAAGCTTGCTGGAGGCATCCCTCTCATTTTCATAGTAGCCATTTTGTGATGTGTGCCCTCAGAACTCTGTCAAAATATGTGAATAGTGTCTAGGGTGCTGTCGGAAAGTAAAATGGAAAAGGGTTGTTACCTAAATGTGAAAGCAAGCTTAGTGGGTTTAAATCAGGGTTTTCAACCTTTTCGGGTCCATGGCTCCCTTGACCAGCTACAGTGGTACCTCGGGTTACAGACGCTTCAGGTTACAGACTCCGCTAACCCAAAAAATAGTACCTTGGGTTAAGAACTTTGCTTCAGGATGAGAACAGAAATCATGCTCTGGCGGCGCGGCAGCAGCAGGAGGCCCCATTAGCTAAAGTGGTACCTCAGGTTAAGAACAGTTTCAGGTTAAGAACGGACCTCCAGAACGAATTCAGTTCTTAACCAGAGGTACCACTGTACATTCTTCCTGCAGCACTCCTTTAGGGCTCAGGAGCCCAGTTGTGTCACCCTTTGCCTGCAGAGCTGGCAGTCTCACGCCCTTTTTCGAACACCCTCCCTTGTGGAGTGTTCCCTCAGCCTCATCTTCTCTCCCCACAGCTGCCCCCCCGGTCTCTGAGCTGCTCCCCTCTGCCCCAAATAAATGTGCCTCCTCACAGTGCCCCACAGGGGCCTGGGAAGCACCCCCTGGCCAGACCCAGAGGCACCATTCGCCTGGGGAGCTTGTAGCCAGGGCTGCTGCAACAAACAGCTGTGCAAGCCTTTGGGAGGCAGAGACATGAGAGGGCATCAGAGGAAGGGAATTTTTATATATGTTGGAAGCCACCCAGCTAGATGGGCAGGGTACAAATATACTACTACAGTACAGTCATACCTCGGAATGAATGTGCTTCAAGTTAAGTATTTTCAGGTTGCGCTCCGCGGCGACCTGGAAGTAACAGAGCGCGCTACTTCCGGGTTTCGCCGCGCATGCATGCACAGATGGTCAAAATGACATCATGCGCGGGAGCGTCAAAATGTGGCCTGAGCACGTGCAGATGCGCGGACACAGGTTGCGTTCGCTTCAGGATGCGAATGGGGCTCCGGAATGGATCCCATTCGCATCCCGAGGTACCACTGTAATACTAATACCTTTTGAAATTCCTTCCTTATATTTTTAGCCAATTGTGCCCAGAAGGAAGTTACTGTAGCTGAGAGAGAGAGAGAGAGAGAGAGAGAGAGAGAGAGAGGAAGGGAGAGAGAGAGAACACACTTTGCCCCATTAACATATGCAATATGTTCTTTTTTTAAATAAAAAAAATGATCTTTATTTTTCTGCACAACAGAGTGAAAGCTCTCGATAGCACCTCCCCTCCCTTCCTCTTTACACCAGCACGGTCCAGTATTATAACTTAGGCTGAGACAACTCTACCGAACTCTTATTTCAGTGGAACAAAAGGTGTGCAATGGATTTATTTGGGTTAATTTGGCCATAAGGAGCTGTAACGTTTAATGAAAGGCAGCTGTGCTAAAGCACTTTCGGTTTGGCGTCCCGCCAAAGATGATAATAAGGACAATTCTGCAAAAGCTGGTTTAATTTGGTGCTATCAGCAGGAAGGGAAAAGGGTCGGCAGGAAGAGTACATGCGACGGACAACTAATGAGTCTTAAAAGGATCGTATTATTTTGGCAAAGTTGAAACGCCGCTCGACTAATGAAGTCATCCTATTAGGCTTTGGATGTAAAAAATATAGATATCTATAACTCATGCCTCAGTGAGAAAAATGTAGCTGCTACTGAGCGGAATGTAGTTTTTAGCCGATTAAAATGCAGCACAGATGTAACTCGTTCTGCCAAGCCATGTGTTTATCTGCCAAGAGTATATGAGGGTATGTATGCGTTGTATATTTTTGTGCAGCTCTGTTCCTGGGGCCAAGTGGAACGCCTTGACCTCCTCGTCCACAGCGGGTGTCCCACCGTTAAACTATCATGAACTGGCACACATATGGCAACTTATCTCTGCACCTCTTGTCAAACCACTTGCCAGTGGCGACCCCCGACAACGTGGCGCAGTTTTCCAGTTTCCCACCATCAGGCTGAGTGGTGATCTCTGTTTCCCAGTTCTTGAAGCCGATGCTGGTACTTGTCATGTCCACCCATCTCCCTTCGGCGGCCATGTCGTTGATGCCGAGCCAGATTTCCGACTGGGCCCCGATGCTCTTTCTCATGTAGTCGTACAGAGCGTCGTTTTCGTCTCCCGTCTGAGGGGTGCTGAGGGTGCCGCCTTGAGAGATGCAGTCTTCGCTGGCTTCGTGATAGGTCTTGGCGTTGGGGAAAGCCAGGAAACACTTCAGGTTGACCTTGGTGCCTTTCAGACAAACTAGCGAGAGACAAAAAGGGGAGGAGATGGTGCAGGGAGACAGGGGAGTCAGAAAAGGAACCATGTGCTTTGGAGTGCAATGCAGTGGTACAGCAGTACCTCGGGTTACATACGCTTCAGGTTACAGACGCTTCAGGTTACAGACTCCGCTAACCCAGAAATAGTACCTCGGGTAAGAACTTTGCTTCAGGATGAGAACAGAAATCATGCTCCAGCAGTGCGGCAGCAGCGGGAGGCCCCATTAGCTAAAGTGGTGCTTCAGGTTAAGAACAGTTTCAGGTTAAGAACAGACCTCCGGAACGAATTAAGTACTTAACCCGAGGTACCACTGTACCTTGGTTCCTGAATGGCTTAGCTCCCGAACAAATCAGCTCCCAAACCCGGAAATAAGTGTTCCAATTTGCAAATGTTTTTGGGAAGCCGAACGTCTGTTTCGGCTGTCAGCACTGTGTCCGGGGCCAATCAGCCAACCAGAAGCCGCGCCTTGGTTTGCAAACGTTTTGGAAGTCGAACGGACTTCCAGAACGGATTGAGTTCGCGAACCAAGGTACCACTGTACTAGCTCTGTTCGATGTATCTGCAAGGAAAGCATTTCTTACTCTTTCAATTTGAGCAGGGTTTCCCAAACTTGGGTCTCCAGCTGTTTTTGAACTACAATTCCCATCATCCCACCCTTGCTATATAGGGATGATGGTGGTTGTAGTCCAAAAACAACCAAATTTGAGAAACACTGCATTAGACTTAAAAAAGGATGCTGAGAGCAGTGGCGGACCTACATTTTGGGGGGAGTGGAGCCCTGAAGCTTGAACTGTTATGTGGGCCTCTTCGCAACCAGCGATGAGGTCCGGGCAACCACTGTCATCTTCTTCAACGGGGTTGCTCCACAACAGATCACTAAACCTTTATGACATCTGTGCTACTGACTCTCAAACTTTGGGATTGTTGATGTTATGTACTGAAGTTCTGACCCTGGGCCAGCAGGGGGATACTGTAGATAGTTATGCAAATAAGGGATCGAAAGTGACGTTCAGTGATTGGATAGTTTTAGAAACTTGTTACAGTTACGTTGTACTGGAGCTCTATATAAGCAGCCTGACTGAACTCTTCAGTTCAGTTCTGTTCTGGCCTGTGAGTAAACAAGAGCTGTTTAAAGGATTGCTGTGTCGTCTGATATGTTCACCCACAACTTAACAGTTGACAACAAAAAAGTAATCATTTTGAGTCATGTGACTCAAATTAGGTCTACTAGACCTTAAAATTTTAAGCAATGTCTGGGACCCCTCTAGAATTAGGGGCTTACGACTCATTCGTTTCAAAGTAGATCTGCCCCTGGATGAGAGTCTTGGAATCACAGCTGTCCTTGTGAATGGTAGTCAGTGCCCGTTAGCTCTCCAAGTTTTGGGGTGGCCTTGGAGAAGAGTCCTTCAGCGGGCCACCTTTTCTGAATGGGTCCTTCTCCTCCACACTGCTGCTACTGCCCTATTCCTTTGGACCTAAACCACACAACCAGGCAGAGGGAGAAGATGAGGTGCCTCAAAGGTTGCTCCTCCTTGGTCCTCTCATTCCTCAGTCACTCAGCAGGGAGAGGAACAGGAATCAACATGAATGTGGAGGAGCCAGAGGGATCTAGGGACCGCCCATGGTCCATCTGAAGAGGTGCAGTCCTCAGCATGTGCCATATGATGTTAGTGACCCCTGCTGCAGTACAGAGGGGGTGAAAACATTAATAATAATAATAATAATAATAATAATAATAATAATAATAATAATAATTTATTACTTATACCCCGCCCATGTGGCTGGGCTTCCCCAACCACTCTGGGCGGCTTCCAACAGGATATTAAAAACAGAATAAAACTTCAAACGTTAAAAATTTCCCTAAACAGGGCTGCCTTCAGATGTCTTCTGAAAGTCAGATAGTTGTTTGTTTCCTTGACATCTGGAGGGAGGCCATTCCACAGAACGGTTGCCACTATCAAGAAGGCCCTCTGTCTGGTTCCCTGTAGCTTCACTTCTCGCAGTGAGGGAACCGCCAGAAGGCCCTCGGAGCTGGACCTCAGTGTCTGGGCTGAACAATGGGGGTGGAGACGCTCCTTCAGGTATACTGGACCGAGGCCGTTTAGGGCTTGAAAGGTCAGCACCAACACTTTGAATTGTGCTCGGAAACGTACTGGGAGCCCAATGAAGGTCTTTCAGGACCAGTGTTATATGGTCTCAGTGGCCACTCTCAGTCATCAGTCTAGCTGCAGCATTCTGGATTAATTGTATTTTTCGGGTCACCTTCAAAGGTAGCCCCAAGTTGAGCACATTGCAGTAGACAAAGCGGGAGATAACCAGAGCATGCACCACTCTGGTGAGACAGTCTGTGGGCAGGTAGAGTCCCAACCTGCGTACCAGATGGAGAAGGTAGACAGCTGCCCTGGGACAATATGGATCATTTGAACCTGCTCCTGGCCAACAAAGAATGGAGGACACAGCATATCACGCATGTTTAGAGCACTGATTGAGAGGAAATGCAATGCAAGCTGCAAAATTGCCTTCAGCTGTTTGCATATGTTGCTTTGAACAATGCTGTTCACTTTGCTCCTAGAGCGAGGATAACAACATTAAGCATTTGTCTACAAAAGCTCATGTTTTTTCTGCGCTTGCAAGCTGGTTTCGGAGCTTGGATGCCTGACCCACAGAGGCTGACTGTAAGGAAGAGGACAGGCAGAGTCTTTTAAAATGCTGGAATGATTTTGTTTTCTAACCACTCTCCCTTTCCATCTCTGCAACCAGGCGGGGTGTGAGGCTGCAGCAACAGAACAAATCAGTACATCTGAGCTTTAGCATAATGGGAAACTAGTTAGTGCAAACTATGGTGCTTCGTATTGTAGTTTAAAATCCAGATTTATTGATCCCAAACAACCTATGGTTACTGAACAGTTAATGTTAATGTACTGGAAATACAAACAAACCAGATTTTAGCTAACACATCACGGCTTAATGTTATGTCATAAATAGCCTTATTTCACAAAGTGAGGCCATTTTGTGGCGTATGAAAAATTATAGGCTATTGGGTTTTGTACCTGTTTGAAGTGCTTGCTTTTCCTTTAGCAGAGCCACCTCCTGGGAGATATTCTCTAGCTGCTCCTTCAGGTCTTCAAACATTTTGAGGCTTACGACATCTGCAGAGCAAACGAAGAGATTGATGATCATGTCTGCCTACACGGAATGAATGCAATCACATTTATGAATGGAACCAGAACTTCCTCCCTCATTGGCAATATAACAAAGAGTACAATGAACAAAGAAGAAAGCAGCGTATTATGCAGCGTTTGTTATAGAGAGAGTTCGCAATAGATGGAATCAGCAATTCGTAACAGGTCCATGCAGTAAAATGTCCCCTACTCTTTCTTTCCTTTCCTAATACTTTATTTGCTTTTCCTCTTTTATATCAATATGTTTTATATTTGTAGCACAATGCCCTCATCTTAATATGTCCTGTTTGAATTAAGTGGGTGACGCTGTGGTCTAAACCACTGAGCCTCTTGGGCTTGTGGATCAGAAGGTTGGTAGTTTGAGTCCCCGTGATGGGGTGAGCTCATGTTACTCTGTCCCATCTCCTGCCAACCTAGCAGTTTGAAAGCACACCAGTGCAAGTAGATAAATAGGTACCACTGTGATGGGAAGGTAAATGGTGTTTCTGTGCGCTCTGGCTTCCGTCACAATGTTCCGTTGCACCAGAAGCAATTTAGTCATGCTGGCCACTTGACCCGGAAAGCTGTCTGCGGATAAACATGGGCTCCCTTGGCCTGAAAGTGAGATTAGCGCCACAACCCCAGAGTCACCTTTGACTGGACTTAACCATCCAGGGGGCCTTTACCCTTTTTTACCTTCAATAATGCCACGTTAAGGGACGCGAGTGGCACTGTGGTCTAAACCACTGAGCCTAGGACTTGCCAATCAAAAGATTGGTGTTTCGAATCCCTGTAACGGGGTGAGCTCCCGTTGCTCGGTCCCTGCTCCTGCCAGCCTAGCAGTTCGAAAGCACGTCAAAGTGCAAGTAGATCAATAGGTACCACTCTGGCGGGAAGGTAAATGGCATTTCCGTGTGCTGCTCTGGTTTGCCAGAAGCGGCTTAGTCATGCTGGCCACATGACCCGGAAGCTGTCTGCGGACAAACGCCGGCTCCTTCGGCCTATAGAGCAAGATGAGCGCCGCAACCTGAGTCATCCACGACTGGACCTAATGGTCAGGGTACTTTTCCCTTTACCTAATGCTACATTATGTTTTGTTGTTGGCATCTGTGCCTCCAGGGGTGAAGTCAAAGTGCTGGAGAATTACAGCACCTGCTTTGGAGGCAGGGACCAGAAATTTGTAACTGCTGCCTCCTGCGTAGTTTCTACTGCATTATCAGCACTGAAGTGACCTTCCTGGGGTGCAAGCCTGGGCAGTGTGTTTGGAGATCCTGGGATGTCCAGATAATCAGACCTCTTGGTCTCACTGATGTGGACCAAAGGAAAGCAGAGTGATACGTTTGGCACCAGCTTGGCTGCAGGAGTTGTCCAAGGGAGGCATAGAAGATGCCATCCAGCTGTCTTAGGGACTCCACTCCAGATTTGTGTAGGGTTTACTCCTTCGCCTTTTCTTCTCCCAAAGATGTCCCACAAGGCAGTGGGTATGTTTTGTTCAATTAAGTACAGTGGTACCTCGGTTTTCGAATGTACAGTGGTACCTCAGGTTAAGTACTTAATTCGTTCCGGAGGTCCGTACTTAACCTGAAACTGTTCTCAACCTGAAGCACCACTTTAGCTAATGGGGCCTCCCGCTGCAGCCGCGCCACTGAAGCCCAATTTCTGTTCTTATCCTGAAGCAAAGTTCTTAACCTGAAGCACTGTTTCTGGGTTAGCGGAGTCTGTAACCTGAAGCGTATGTAATCTGAAGCGTATGTAACCTGAGGTACCACTGTAATCCATTCTGAAAGTCCGTTCAAGTTCCGAAACATTCGAAAGCTGAAAGTGGAAGCCTCAATATGGAAAACTCAGAACGGAAACCATGTTTCCTGTTCGACTTCCAAGGTGTGTTCAAAAACTGAGGCACTTGCTTCCGGGTTTTCGGCATTCTGAGTTCCGAAATGTTCGACTATGGAGGCATTTGAAAACTGAGGTACCACTGTATTCTACATCATGGTTCCTGCAAGACAACTGACCATTATAAATAAACAAGGCCTGTGTAAAACAGTGGTCAGGAACTTGTAGGGTAACCAGCCCCATATAACCAGCATGCTTGATTCTAATTAACACATGAAGGGGTTAATGCCATAGAGTAAGCTGACTTGCCAGGCTTAGCCTAGGTCACTTCCCCTCACCTCAGAAGGAAATGGGCAACCAAACCTTTTGTTGTACTCAATTTACATGTGGATTTGGTGTGTGAGGAGGTCTGAGCTGGTTGCTTCAGCTCAGCCGCATGGCTTTAACCAGCCTCTCTTGTTTTTAGGCAAGAATGGAATATGAAACTAGTGTTTTTGTATACCTGTAGTTTAGGAACTTCTGCTATTTTGTAACCAAGCAACATTTTATTGCCTGTGCGTCTTTTCTGACTGCTATACTGTATGGAAAAACACATGAATCTGAGCTTTGAAGAGTCTTGTAAGTAAAGCATTTTATGACTTACTAAATGTGAAGTCTGTCTGTGTGCTAGGGAAGTGGGATACTTTGGAAAGAACCATTAAAAGGGACAATTTTGGGGTTCACTGGAAAGGCAGGTTTTACAGCCTCTATTTCCATGCCTTTCTTTGCTGCATGTATTGCAATGTTAAATTTCTGCAGTTGTTCTCACCAAAGAGTACTTGCCCCAAACTTAGGTCTTGGATTCCAGGATTCCAACAGAACTTTCCAAGTTGGCCACATCCTTTTAAAATTATTTCTACTCTGCCTTTTGGCTCTTAAAAAAAAGGTTGCCTGAGGTGGTTTGTGCATGTGTGAACAGCATCTGAATAGTTAATCCATGCAACATAAAAGCATGTGGAGAAATGTTATTGTGGCAGGATGTTCCACAGACCCTGAAATATAAAAACAAAAGAAGCCCAAATATCTAAATGTGGTTATAAAAAGTACTGGGGGAACAGTTTCTGTATATGGTTCACGTGGAACCTAAAATTTCCTCAAACTTGATAACCTTATTTTTATAATCATAGGCATCTCTCAAATGTCAATTATCCCCTGTTAAAAAGCAAGAATTACAAGTGGGTCTTAAAAATAGAAAAGCAAAGAATGAAATGTGGATGCTTTAAGTCATTGCTCAATTAACTTTAATAGGTTCCACTAATGTTGAATTCGTCATTATTAGTTTGGCTCCTCTTATCAAAACACATTTTTATCACATTATTATTATTATTATTATTATTATTATTATTATTATTATTATTTCTGTTGGGAGGCGCTCAGAGTGGCTGGGGAAACCCAGCCAGATGGACGGGGTATAAATAAATTATTATTATTGGAAAATGTCTACATTGTGGTGCCGTAGTCTAGCCATCATTCATTGCAATATTATCTCTGTTTTAAATCACAGTATGTGTGCAACTGTTCCCAGTATGTGTGCAACTGTTCTAGCTACCAGCCTTAGGTGCAGCAATAAAACTGCTAGCACATTTGCAAAGCTAAGCAGGGTCTGGTCTGGTTTCAAATTGGATGGGAGACCGGGTGCTGAGATTCCTGCATTGCAGGGGGTTGGACTAGATGACCCTCGGGGTACCCCTTCTGATTCTACCATTCTACGATTCTATGAATGTGACATGATCCTCGCTCTTCTTTCTTGTGGTTCTTCATTTTTAACCTTGACTTGGACCAGACAGCTTTTCAAAATAGACGACTACTCTCTGCAAAGCAGGTCACATGCGCCCTCTAGTTAGCTATGTGATTTGCACATATTGTGCATGAGCTTATTTAAACACAACTGGTTGTGATCTGAAGGCTCTGCCACAAAACCAGGAAAAAATCTGCCTTGATCTCTTCCAGTCTGCCATGCAATATTGCAAAACCCAATTTAGATGACTGTCATATACAGTCATATCTGGAAGCAGCCCAGAGTGGCTGGGGCAATTCAGTTAGATGGGCAGGGTACAATTATTATTATTATTATTATTATTATTATTATTATTATTATTATTATTATTTTCAGTGGTTCCCAACTAATGGTCCCGAGGACCCCAGGGGGTCTGCATAACCCATTCACATAACAAAAAGTACCATAAATATATTGAAATTTTCAAAAGTAGGGGGCCCGTGGCTTGGCTTTTGAAAAACAGGGGGTCTGTCAAAAAAAAGGTTATTTATTTATGCCACTACTGCTGCCTGTCTTCTGTTAGCCCCCAAATGAAAATCGAGCAAAGTCCCAACTAGAAAGAAAGACAACTTAAACTGATGGAATACGCTACAGCTTGCAGATTTAGCATACACAATAAGAGAACAAGAAGAACATATGTTCAAAGAAGACTGGAAAACCTTTACTGAATATATGTGTGAAAATTGTGTACATTTAAAAACACTGGGAGCATTAAGATAAATTCAGCAGTGTAAATAAGGTTTGATGGATGTAACAATGGATTACCGAATAGTTTAGTTCATGTAAAACATGTATGGTATGCAAAATGAAATGGAATGGAAAAGGAAGAAGGGAAGTCGTTGATTTAAGGTGGTTTAAATGAATATTTTGAAATGTGAATTAGAAATATTTAATAAAAATTATAGTAAAAAGAAAAACAGGGGGTCTGCAGTACTTAGCTAATTGGAAACCACTTGGCTGGATAGCATGGATAAGGGAAAAGGGGTGATAATAAGTGTTACTGTTTCTTGACTTTTTAATAAACCCTGTTTGGAGAGTCATTTCAACACAGGATGAAGTAGACAGCAGGGCACAGATGACACCCCTTAACACATGCAGCTTTTGCTAAACTGTACAAATTCAGTGGGAGAAACACCGTTGAATGCTTGTGTGTGTGTGTGTGTATCTATCTATATCTATCTATTATCTATCTATCTATCTATCTATCTATCTATCTATTATCTATCTATCTATCTATCTATCTATCTATCTATCTATCTATCATCTATCTATCTATCTATCTATCTATCTATCTATCATCTATCTATCTATCATCTATCTATCTATCTATCTAGCTATCTATCTATCTATCTATCTATCATCTATCTCAGTGTTTCCCAACCGGTGTTCCCCGAGGATGGCGGGGGCGCCGGACGTTGCCTAGTGTGCCGTGGGAGGGAGGCGGGCGAGTCGTGCTAATCCTCCGGCCCCGCTCCCCCGGGGAACGTGCCCCGTCATCCGCTTCTGCCTTGCTCCCTGTGACAGGAATTCCCCAAACTGCATCAGCATCTGCCGCTTGCCCAGCAGCCCCGGCGCTGCCTTGCGCCCGGCGCCCCCGCCATCCTCGGCGCAGGGAGCGAGGGGCGCGCAGGCAGGCGCTGCCCGGCGGAGCGACGGCTCCTTCCGAGCGGCTGGCAGTGTCTGGGCATGACTGGCCTCCCGCCTGGTCCCGCGGCAGCTGCAGACGCGGCCGAAGCAGTGCAGGGAAGGAGACGCCCGGCCGCCCAGCCCCGCCCCGCACGCTCCCACTCTCTCTCGGCGGGCGCTGCGCCCGGGACGCCCCAGTTCCGCCGGGTTAGAAGCCGGTGGCCTACCTCTGCTGGCCGTGGAAGGCAGCCGGGTCTGGGTCGCGCCCCGAGAGTGGCGGGGTCCGCGCACAGCCTGCCCTCCAGGCTGGGAAGTGGCTCCTAGGCTCCGCCTGAAGCCACGCAGAGCCCGCAAGGCGCCCTCGGCGCAACTTGGCCGGGGCAAAAGGCGAAGCTCTGGAGGGAAAGGCGGCCGGATTCCCCTCCTCAGCGGGTCCGGTGGTCTCCCGCCTCCTCTGAGGAAGGGTCTCTTCTTCAGCTTTTCTGATCCTTCGTGGCCCCGTTGGGAGAAGCCGAAATAAATAATGGCCGTGCCATTAAAGTTCTCTCTTTTATAAAAGGGATCCTAATAGAATCGTAGAGTTGGAAGGGATCCCCAGGGCTATCCAGTACTGTACAACCCCTGCAGTGCAGGAATCTCAGCCATAGCATCCATGGCAGACAGACATCCCACCTCTGCTTAAAAACCTCCAAGAAGGGAAAAACCTCCCGAGGGAGACCATTCCCCTGTTGAACAGCCCTTACCAGCAGAAAGTTCTTTCCCATGTTTAGTCAAAATCTTTATTGTAACGTGAATCCACTGGTTCGAGTCCTACCTTCTCTACCTTCTATGCTGTTACTATTTTTTTATTTTTTTTTACATAAGTAAAAAGTGACCTTTCCCCATCTGGCATGGTGGTGTGCCTCGAGATTTTTTTCATGAAACAAGTGTGCCTTTGCCCAAAAAAGGTTGGGAAACACTGATCTATCTATCTATCTATCTATCTATCTATCTATCTAATCTATCTATCTATCTATCATCTATCTATCATCTATCTATCATCTATCTATCTATCTATCTATCTATCTATCTATCTATCTATCTATCTATCTCATCTATCTATCTAATCTATCTATCTATCATCTATCTATCTATCTATCTATCTATCTATCTATCTATCTATCTATCTATCATCTATCTATCTATCATCTATCTATCTATCTATCATCTATCTATCTATCATCTATCTATCTATCTATCTATCTATCTATCTATCTATCTATCTATCTATCATCTATCTATCTATCTATCATCTATCTATCTATCTATCTATCTATCTATCTATCATCTATCTATCTATCTATCTATCTATCTATCATCTATCATCTATCTATCTATATCTATCTGTCTATCTATCTGGGGAGCTATTGGGAAATTCCTTCTGGTTCTCTTACCTTTCTCTGGCTTCTTCTTGGGTCTGATGTTCTGCTGAGTTGTCAATTGTACCACAGAAAAGAGGCAGACCAGAAGGCAAACACCTCGGAGCTCCATCGCTGTCCGGCTGCTGTTCTCAAAGGGAGTGGAGGAGCTGAAGTGAATTTGAGCTGCCCTGAGTTGAGCTTCTTAATGTGGGCTTTAACCAAAAATGCCTGGCCAAGAAATAAGTTCCAGATTATTCGGTAAACAACGCAGCGACTGGAGCTTATTTTTACAGATTGTTGGGAGAGATCCAGTATCCTAAGAGCTTTCGGACCCTCCCATAAACACAGAGGGGAGTAGAATGGGATGGGGTTTTTTTTAGATCTTGTACAAACTTGCAGATGAAATAACTTGAAAATGAAAATGTTCATTTCCAATGGATTTATTCGGGCTCCAAAAGTGCCAACTTTTTTCCTGAACGAGTCTGTGCCTAACAGCCAAGGTTGCCAACTTTTGGGTCTGCCGTGCTGCTGGTTTTCAGTCACCAGCTTGGATGATTTTTCAAGGAGGATTGGACAAATTCATGGAGGGCAAAACTAACAGTGGCTACTAGTCATGATGGCTATGTCCTGCCTCCACGGTCAAAGGCAGTCATGTTTCTGGATGTTAGGAGACAGGGCTCAAGTCTTGCTTCCCAAAGGCATCTTTTTGGCCACTGTGAGAACAGAGATGCTGGACTAGGTGGACCATTGGCCCAATCTAGCAAACTCTTCTTACATTCTTAAAAGGTAAAGGGGCCCCTGACCATTAGGTCCAGTCACGGACGACTCTGGGGTTGCGGTGCTCATCTCGCTTTATTGGCTGAGGGAGCCGGTGTACAGCTTCCGGGTCATGTGGCCAGCATGACTAAGTCGCTTCTGGCGAACCAGAGCAGCGCACGGAAACGCTATTTACCTTCCCGCCAGAGCGGTACCTATTTATCTACTTGCACTTTGATGTGCTTTCGAACTGCTAGGTTGGCAGGAGCAGGGACCGAGCAACAGGAGCTCACCCCGTTGCGGGGATTCGAACCGCTGACCTTCTGATCGGCAAGTCCTAGGCTCTGTGGTCCCTTCTTCTTATATTCTTAGGTGCTTTTAATATCACCTGGGCTATACAGTGGTACCTCTGGATGCAAACCGGATCCGTTCCGGAGCCCTGTTTGCGTCCTGAAGTGAACGCAACCCGTGTCTGTATGTGCCGCGATTCGCCGCTTCTGCGCATGACGTCATTTTGACAGTCTGCGCATGCGCAAACGGCGAAACCCGGAAGTAACACGCTCTGTTACTTCCGGGTCGCTGCAGCACTCAACCCAGAAATACTCATCCCGAAGCTACTTTAACCCAAGGTATGACTATACAGAAATTCGGAGACACATTAGCAGTGTTCAGCTTCACATGATGCCAAGTTTCATCTGCTGATTTCTGTAATCTGTTGGTAAAGGCACAACAGGAAGCTGAGCCATGTTTTTTTCCTGGTAAGCTATTAAGCCTACTAATGGTTGAATTGGAAATTCAAAAGGTGTAAGGTGAAAAAAAGTTAAAGGACCACTGGACGGTTAAGTCCAGTCAAAGGGACTATGGAGTTGTGGCGCTCATCTTGCTTTCAGGCCAAGGGAGCCGGCGTTTGTTCACAGACAGCTTTCCGGGTCATGTGGCCAGCAGGACTAAACCGCTTCCGGCGCAACGGAACACCATGACGGAAACCAGAGCGCACGGAAATGCTGTTTACCTTCCCACCACAGTGGTACCTATTTATCTATTTGCACTGGCGTGCTTTTGAACTGCTTAGGTTGGCAGGAGCTGGGACAGAGCAACAGGAGCTCACCCCATTGCAGGGATTCGAACCGCCAACCTTCTGATCGGCAAACCCAAGAGGCCCGGTGGTTTAGACCACAGCGCCACCCTTTGAAAAAGGTGTAACAGCATGGAGATAAACTGGCGGGCATCATTTTGAGGCACGCTATTCTACCTGTCACAGAGTAGTTAAAGGCAGGGGAACACTGCCACCGGGGCAGTAATCAAAGCCCTCACCTAGGAACTAAACCTACTTGGAGCAAGATTTTCCTGTTTGGCAATTTAGAGATGGCCCCTAAAGGCAGCCCCTAAAGAGCTGTTTGACAGTGCAACGGTCTTCCTTGGGACGTTATGGACTCTCCTTCCTTGGAGGTTTTTAAGCAGAGGTTGGATGGTCATCTGTCATAGATGATGTAGTTGAGATTCTTGCATTGCAGGGGGTTGGACTAGATGATCGTTGGGTCCCTTCCAGCTCTGCAATTCTATAAGCAACCAGTTACATTTGTCACAATGCATTTTAATGGCCAGTGTTCCCCTACAGCAATTTATAGGAACCAATGCTCTCCAATGGCCACTTAGTGGCATTCTTTTTAACAGGTCCCGAGTTTGAACGGCTCAGACTTCAGTATCCCAGGAAGCTCTGCAGATGCAGCCAGCAGGTAAGAAAGCACAGAGTTGTCCCTAACACTACAGTAAATGGACACAGATCTCCATGTGGCAAATGGAACAGAGGGATGATAACAACAACAACAAACAACAATAATAATAAATTTTATTTATACCCCGCCCTCCCCGGCCAGAGCCGGGCTCGGGGGAGGCTAAAACCGGTAAAATTACAGTAAAAACATAATAGGGGGGAAAAACCAATTTAAAATACAGGTTAAAATGCAATTTAAAATGCAGCCTCATTTTAAAAGTAGCCCATAGATCAAAACCATAAGGGGAGGGAAACATAAGGGTCAGGCTGAGTCCAAACCAAAGGCCAGGCGGAACAGCTCTGTCTTGAAGGCCCTGCGGAAAGATGTCAAGTCCCGCAGGGCCCTGGTCTCTTGTGACAGAGCGTTCCACCAAGTCGGGGCCAGTTCTGGAAAAGCCCTGGCCCTAGTTGAGACCAATCTAACCACCTTGTGGCCTGGGACCTCCAAAGTGTTGCTATTTGTGGACCTTAAGGTCCTCCGCGGGGCATACTGGGAGAGGCGGTCCCGTAGGTACGTGGGTCCTAGGCCGCAAAGGGTTTTAAAGGTCAAAACCAGCACCTTAAATGAATGGCTGGACATTTCAGGTAATGGAACAAGACAGATATAACACCCAGCTGGAAGAAAAAACAAACAGTGACATCACTAACCATTCTGGGAATACAGTGGAACCTCAGTTTTTGAGCGTCTCGGAAACCGAACGCCAAAAATCTGGAAGTAATTGAACAGCTTCCGAGGCATGTTTCTCCATTTTTTCAATGGATTTTGCTGACCACCCATTGATGCTTGGTTTTCGAACGTTTCGTAAGTCGAATGGTCTTCCGGAATGGATTGCGTTCGAAAACCGAGGTTCCATTGCAGTTCTAGGAAACAAGCAGGTATTGCAAAGTGGTTCAGTAGATGAGCACTAAAGGATAACTGTTGGAAGAAAGGAAAAGAAAGTGCAGAAAGGAAATAGAAGTTAAGAGATGGGCCTTTTCAATTCCCATTTTGGACACAGCCAGATTCCACGTCTGCAACAAATAAACATGATAACTTTGGTTGATTAGGAATTGCAATTCTTAAGGGCTGCATTATTAAATTTAAATCTTATCTCTTAAAATGGAGATTCTATCCATACTCCAACAGCTGGTTTATATATACAGTGGTACCTCAGGTTAAGTACTTAATTCGTTCTTAACCTGAAATTGTTCTTAACCTGAAGCACCACTTTAGCTAATGGGGCCTCCCGCTGCCGCCGCACTGCCAGAGGACGATTTCTGTTTTCATCCTGAAGCAGAGTTCTTAACCTGAAGCACTATTTCTGGGTTAGTGGAGTCTGTAACCTGAAGCATATGTAACCTGAAGCGTATGTAACCCGAGGTACCACTGTACAGGGATGATATCAAACTGACAGCTTTACACTTATGCTTACCTGCATTTATCCATAGGAAGCAAGCACTTACCTGGTTATAAAAGATTGCCCAAATCTGAGTTATATTTAATTAGGTACAGTCTCCTGCCTCCCATGAATATTCAGGGATCTGGTGGCACTGCTGTTTGTGTAAACCAGTCTTGATATTCCAGCTGGGAGTTATGATGGCCCCATAGGAGGAAAATTCTAAGGATTGGTTCATGTTTCCCTCCTAATGGGGAGAAAATGAACTGAAAGAGCTTGGAATATGTGATTTGGGACACACTAACTAAAAAGGTAAAGGTACCCCTGCCCGTACGGGCCAGTCTTGACAGACTCTAGGGTTGTGCACCCATCTCACTCAAGAGGCCAGAGGCCAGCGCTGTCCGGAGACACTTCCGGGTCACGTGGCCAGCGTGACATCGCTGCTCTGGCGAGCCAGAGCCGCACACGGAAACGCCGTTTACCTTCCCGCTAGTAAGCGGTACCTATTTATCTACTTGCACCCGGAAGTGCTTTTGAACTGCTAGGTTGGCAGGCGCTGGGACCGAACAACGGAAGCGCACCCCGCCGCGGGGATTCGAACCGCCAACCTTTCGATCGGCAAGCCCTAGGCGCTGAGGCTTTTACCCACAGCGCCACCCGCATCCCTTCACACTAACTACCTTGAAAAATGTGCAAAAATGAACAAGAGCAAAGATTTTGAAAGAATAAACAACCAACTGCTGCTCTTGAACAAGTTTTTGTGTGTGTGTGGTGTTGATCTGCATTTCATCTCCCACTGTTTTGGGAAGAATTCTTCTACAGCTGACACAAAAATATTTTACAACCACCAGATAGGCTATTTCTTATACTCTCTTAAGCTCCGAGGAGCTGCTGAAATCCTTGGTTTATTCCACGAGGCTTTTAGAGCAAAAGCAATTTAATGTTTCTGGGACAAACACCGAGCTCTTTGCTCCACAGATGTTTCCTTTTATTGCTCCACTGGACACATGACAATGAAAACGTGGCGATAAGTGCGCAGCAACACATGGAAATTTCCACCAGCCGCAATGGCAACAGCTGCCATGGCAAAAGCCTGTTCAAGAATCAGACAGGAATTCCGGCTGGGTGTGCAGGCTGTTGCCTGTCTGGAGCAACGTCTTCATGTATTTCTGTGCCAAGGAATGCATCTTGCCAACCAAGTGGGCAGACCTCTCCTGGCAGTGTAGAACAGACAGTTCACCTCTGAGCCATTTAGCTTTGAGTGCAGTTCTTTAAACCAGAGCACAAATCATTCTGATGTCTTTTCCTGGGCTAGCGAGTCCCCTCTCCCGTGCGTCGTCAGTCCTTTGTCATTTATCAGTTCTTTTGGGACAGGAGCAAACTGGCTTTTGCCGTTAACAAATCCACACTGGATCATGGTATTGTGTCGGTCCAGTCGGCAGAGAAATGTATTAATCTCAGCAGAGGGGAACCGTTTACAATGTTTATTGACTCGAAAGAGGCTTTCGATTCCGTTTCAAGAAAGATACGGTGGGATTAAACTAGGATAGACATCCACAGACCAAAGTTTTCTTATTCGTGACTTGTACACTCAAAACAACTATTCAAGTCCACTGCGGTCAGCGGGGACAACAGTCACATGAAGATAACCACAAAAAGGGGTGTCAAACAGGAATGTATTTTAACCCCGTACTTATGTATTTCTGAATGATATTGTTTCATCACTGCCAATGATCAGTCTCCAAAGCTGTGGTTATATGTAACGATGATTTTCTCTAAATCGTAGGGAAAGTTTTATTAGGCACTACTAAAGGGGAATACTTTGCAACGGGCTAAAGAATTTAAGTAGCGTGAGCTCCATTTTCAATAGAACCTTAAATGGAAACTTGAACCTGTAAACTACAGTTCATCTGCAGTTGTTTGTTGCTATTGTACTCCAAGTGAGCACAGCATCCTTTCAGTTCTCAGGGTATTTAAAAGCCCAGCTTCTGGCTCTGTGGCATTCGTGTATCGATCACGATGTTCTAATTCTTCTCTGGAAAAAGCTCAGGCACTTTTCTTGTGGGATATGCAGCCATCTGTTTGGAAGCCAGAGCATGAGTCCAGACACTAACATTTTGGTTGTGTCTTCATTGCTCTGCATCAATATCTATTTTTTTATATTTTATTTTTATTAAATTTTCAACAAAAATAACAAAAATAAAAAACAAACAACCACAAATAAAATTATACGCAACAACATCAAATCCATAAAAGGGGATTCTCCAAATCCCGTTACCCCCCCTGTTCCTTAAATTCTTTTCAACTGCATGTCATTTCTACTCCAAATTGTTTTTTCTACCTCAAATTTCCTATATGAATTCTAAAATTACAAATGTTCTTAAAATCCTGACACTGTATTAACCTGTTTACAATACTTTTGCAAATCTTCACCATTCTTTTTAAAATTTCTTATCATCTTGATTTCTGAGCTTCCCAGTTAGTTTTGCCATTTCAGCATAGTCCATCAACTTGGTTTGCCATTCTTCTTTGGTCAAGACGGCTTCCTCTTTCCATCTTCCTGCATCAGTACCTAGCCTGGTACATCTTATGCCACAATAACCACGACAGCACCGACTTCAGCATCTGTAGTGAGCCAAGAACCATGCAGAAAATCAGTTTCGGCATCTTGAGTGCCCCTCGATCAGAGGCGGGGAAATTCTGGCCTGAGAGACCTCCCCCATTCGCCTTCTCCCCATTTTGGGCAAGCCATGCCAACCTGCCCTACACCTGAGGTCAGGTACGGCATTAACTGAGAGACTGGTAAAGATGGGGCTCAGATCAAAGGCTTAGCCTGGTTGTCAAGAGCTTGGGAAGCACTGCTGAAAAGGTTCCTCACCCCGACCAAGATGTATAGGGCAAGGCAGAGATGGAGAACTTCAGGCTTGGAGGTCAAATTTCTATCTGGCCCACAGGACTCTCCCCAGACCACACTCTCAATGGCCTGCTAGGTGTTTTGGCCAGAATAGAATGGGCCCTTGAACTCTGACATTGCTGCTTACTTCCCTGGGTGGAAGATAGCAAAGGACATCTACCTGAAGGAGCGTCTCCACTCCCATCGTTCTGCCCGGACATTGAAGTCCAGTGCCGAGGGCCTTCTGGCTGTTCCCTCGCTGCGAGAAGCCAAGTTACAGGGAACCAGGCAGAGGGCCTTCTCGGTAGTGGCACCCTCCCACCAGATGTCAAAGAGAAAAACAACTACCAGACTTTTAGAAGACATCTGAAGGCAGCCCTGTTTAGGGAAGCTTTTAATGTTTAATAGGTTATTGTATTTTAATATTCTGTTGGAACCCGCCCAGAGTGGCTGGGGAAACCAAGCCAGATGGGCGGGGTATAAATAATAAATTGTTGTTGTTGTTATTATTATTAACGCGTAAAGAAGCATTAATTGCTTTGCCCCCTTTTGTTTCTGGTTTCCCACTGCCAGCATTTGGCCCTGTGAATAGAGAAAGCAACCCCTGGAAAGTTTCCTCTCGCCCCTAGGGTAAGTGAATACAACCACATAGCGGTCAACTTTCAGATTTGAAAATAAGGGATCAGCAGCCTCACCTATTCTTGGGACAGTCTACGGGATATTTAACAATCCGGGATAGCAGCGGGAAGCAGCGCTGGAATAAGGGAATTTCCCGCAAAAAAAGGGAAGGTTGACAGCTATGCAACCATTTTACAATCCATTCCTTGCTTTTACATTTCTATCAAGGCATAGATTAGGGCTGGGCAATATCTGGTTTCCAGCACCAGATAATCACTGCAATACGCCAATATATCACAATATCCGAAATAAGGATGGAGCTACGCAGAGGCACTGGCTGGCTTCACAGTTTTTCCTGCATCGTGATTTTTCCGGTACCTGCTTTTGTGATTTGCTGCCCCCTGCAGGAGGCAGAGGAGAGTCGAGCTGGCAGAGTTAACAGGGGCTGCAGGAAGTGAGAGAAGCACTGGCTAGCTCCACATTTCCCCCCACACTGTGATTTTTGCATAGCGCGCGCGCACACACACACACACACACACACACACACACACCATGATTCACGATATATTGCCAGGTCAAAAATTATGAAACCGGTATCGAAATGTGGACTTCAAACTGATTTTGGACGATATAGTGACATATCACCCAGCCCTAGTGTTGATCAAAATCTTTTAATTTTGCCACCAACGCCCATTGAAAAAAAGAGCTGAAATGACAAGTGTGTTCAGAGGAAACCACCTTTATTTAACAAATATATAGCCAACTTTGTAAAAAAAAAATCTGAACAACTAACTAACAAACCAACCCAGTCCTTGACAGATGTTCAATGTAACAATGAGGCTCATCCCAGGAATCCAACTTTTTTCCGTGTTGGTCCAAGACTTTCTTCTTTATCCAAGGCAGATTGCAAAGAGGTATGCAACAACTTGCCCACCCTCTTTCCAGTCTGAAATGAAAAGACAAAAACCAATGTGTGGCAGGAGAATTTAACTGTAAAAAAAAAGAATCCACAGAGAAGTTTCCTTCTTTTGCGGAAATGTTTTTCTTTAAAAGTTAATACCTACCTCTCTGCTTTTTCTCTACTTTCTATTTGTTTTGGTGTGGGCGGGTGTGGAGATTTGGGGTTTGGTGGATCTGAGCATCACCAGTTTTTTCTACTGTGAAGTGGGTATTTTGTGGTACCCAGGACAACTTCTCAGATTTCCAAATACCGTATTTTTTGCTCTATAAGACTCACTGTTTTCCTTCCTAAAAAGTAAGGGGAAATGTGTGTGCGTCTTATGGAGCGAATGCAGGCTGCGCAGCTATCTCAGAAGCCAGAACAGCGAGAGGGATTGCTGCTTTCGCTGCGCAGCGATCTCTCTTGCTGTTCTGGCTTCTGGGATTCAGAATATTTTTTTTCTTGTTTTCCTCCTCCAAAAACTAGGTGCGTCTTATGGCCTGGTGCGTCTTATAGAGCGAAAAATATGGTATGTCCCCAGACACCCCCCCAAAAAGTTAGAGATCTCTGTCTAGCTGATGAAAAGTTCTACTCGCTAACAACCCAGTGGAGTTTTGAGTTACAGACTTGCACATTCCCCCTAGACCTTAGTGTCTAGCCTTTCAGACTAGAAGAAGCTCTGATGCTAACATTATCTCTCCCCCCTGCAGATCTCGACAACAGTAGTACATCAGAAGGGTTAGTGTGAAATACTCTAGCCTCCCACTGGAAGCAAAAAATGTTCTCTCTAACAGCATTTTAGCTTTCTTGACACCTGCAAAGATTAGAGGGAAGATGCAGAAAATACTGCTAGAGGTCATGGAGTAAAAACAAAGCACAACAACTTTGCCAATGTTGTATGTCTTGGAATGGAAATAAAAGAATTTAACCTTTGAATCTCTTGAATATCTTTAGAGGGAGTGAGCGTAAGTCATAGACATAAAAGTAATGGAACATGGAACAAAGACATGACTACAATAAGTATGATATAGATTTGAAAACTATAGACAAACAATGTGTACTATAAATACACCCAACCTGAATCGTAATTCAATTTACTTTCCCAAAGCTTTCTTGTACCTGTCATTTTGTGGGCTTTATGGAATTATTGTCTGCCTCAAGGCTGGCAAACATAATGGAATTCATGACTTAGTGTCAATATGTTGGTGCATTTAAGAATGCTAAGGAGGAGTTATGAAACTGTTAAAAAACATGTTCTCCAGCATTTTCCTTTACATCTTGCTTGCACCAACAAAAATATTTATTCCATTTCCTATGAAAAGACTCTGATCACCATTTCAGATGAGTATGTAACACAATATATAAAAATATCTATATAAACAGAATTTTTAAAACAGGAGTCCTTGTTTGTTAACTGTAATAACTAAATGCTTTTGATTAATATAAACTGTCTTTCAGCTGTCTTTTGAGATATTTGGAGAAGTTAGATTTTTAAAACCAAAATAGGTTGATAGCTCAACCTTTATGCTGCATAGTGGTATCTTGGTTCTCAAACGCCTTGGTACCTGAACAACTTGGAACTTGAACGCTGCAAACCCGGAAATAAGTGTTCTGGTTTGTGAACTTTTTTCGGAAGTTGAATATGCTCCGTTCTGAGTGTTAAGCTTCCATTTTGAGTGCCACACTTCCATTTTGAGTGTTATGCTGAAGTTTTTGTCTGTTTTTGCTATTTATTTTGCATTTTTGTGGCTTTTTTGTTTTGTTTTTGTGACTGTGTGGAACCCAGTTCAGTTACTGATTGTGTGAATGCAGTACATTGTTTATTGCTTACATTTGATGGATCCATGGTCTTGTTAGATAGTAAAATTCATGTTAAATTGCTGTTTAAGGGGTTGTTTTTAAAAGTCTGGAACGGATTAATCCATTTTGCATTACTTTCTATGGGAAAGCATGCCTTGGTTTAGGAACACTTTGGTTTTGGAATGGACTCCCGGAAGGGATTAAGTTTGAGAACCAAGGCACCACTGTACTTATTAACGTGCTCAAAAATCCCACTACGGCTTGATTTACAACAACCTGACCACATCTTACCTCCATCATCTCAAATATGCTTTCTGGATCAAGGCTTCCCCTTCCCACTTTCTTCATACAGGTTAGGACACCTCGACTGGTCACAGAAATGAGGAGGCTAGCCAGAGAACACGCTTCCTCCTGAAGTGTGGCATCCACTACATGCCTATAGCCGATCTGGAAAAGCAACGGCAAACAAACGTAAACTGCAATCCTGTACAGTCAAACCTTGGTTCCCAAACGGCTCCGTTTTGGAACATTTCAGCGCCCGAATGCCAAAAACATGGAAGTAAATGCTCTGGTTTTTGAACGTTTTTCGGAAGCCGAATAGCTTCCGGGGAGCCCCCCCCCCACTTTTCTCTCCATTTACTTTGCCAACCACCCTTTGATCCTTGGTTGTCAAACAGTCTTCTGGAACGGATTACGTTTGACAACTGAGGTTTGACTATACAGTGGTGCCCCGCAAGACGAATGCCTCGCAAGACGAAAAACCCGCTAGACGAAAGGGTTTTCCGTTTTTGAGTTGCTTCGCAAGACGAATTTCCCTATGGGCTTGCTTCGCAAGACGAAAACGTCTTGCGAGTCTTGCGATTTTTTTCGCTCCCCCCCTTTTTCTAAGCCGCTAAGCCGCTAATAGCCTTTTAGCCGCTAAGCCTTTAATAGCCGCTAAGCCGCTAATAGCGCTAATCCGCTAATAGGGTTGCTTCGCAATACGAAAAAAACGCTAGACGAAGAGACTCGTGGAATGGATTATTTTCGTCTTGCGAGGCACCACTGTACAGTGGTACCTCGGGTGAAGAACTTAATTTGTTCCGGAGGTCTGTTCTTAACCCGAAACTGTTCTTAACCTGAGGTACCACTTTATCTAATGGGGCCTCCTGCTGCTGCGCAATTTCTGTTCTCATCCTGCGGTGAAGTTCTTAACCTGAGGTACTATTTCTGGGTTAGCAGAGTCTGTAACCTGAAGCGTCTTGTAACCTGAAGCGCCTGTAACCAGAGGTACCATTGTACAGTTCTGTGCGAGTAAGGCAGGTAAACACAGTGCGACTTACTTCCAAGTAAACATAGGGCTTGTCAACATTATTTAGCTGTTAATCCATTCCCCACCCATCTTATTCAAATTACACCAGAGTAATCTACACCCTCACATAATTGAATTTGTATATGCAGAGCAACTCTAGCCTTTCCAGTTCATATCTCTAGGCACTCCCTTTTGTGTTCATTCCTTCCTTCTAATCTGTTGATTCTATTACACCAATTAAGTACAAAGTGTGCAAAGAGCTGCACACGCACCTTTGTGGTTTGTTTTTTTTAAAATCCCCACCTGAGAAGTGTGCGAAAACACAGGCAGGTGATTGCAAATTCGCTTGTGCGTGTTTTTTGTGCAAATCCAATGGGTAAAAGGAAAAAAAAGAAATATAAAAAGCTAAGTTCTTCACACAACCTTACTAGCACCCTGGAAAAGAAATGAAAGCAACTGAAAATTTATTTGAACCAGTGCTTTTTTTCTAGAAAAATAGGTGCCGGTACTCACTATGAAGCTGTTAAGTAAGTGCCACACTTTTTAACAACAAAAAAAGAAGTGCCAGTACTGCGTAGCTTTGAGTACCCCCTGAAAAAAACCACTGCCTAGCACAGCCTTTTCAGATCGCTGCCCAATATATCTGGTTTGCAAATTTTATATGTGGTTTGCTTGTGCAATTTCCTGGTTTTGTGCAAATCTGAGGGAGGAAAGTTAGAATATAGAGAAATAACATGGGGAAGGAATTCTAGAACCACAGCATTTTAATCCAGAACTCTAATATAATTAATTCAACAAAAGACCAAGCCAATATGAAGAGAAGCCCTCGCAAGCGACTGTTTTCTGTAAACCTAACGTTTTCAAACCGCAAACCCTTTTTTCATACGTGTCAAAATGGCTTCTCAAATCACTGCTACAGTATAGCCAACCATGTTGTTAAAGGCGTTAATGGACAGAGTTCCATTTCTAAAGAAGAGAAAGTATAATAATAATAATAATAATAATAATAATAATAATAATAATAATAATAAATCTCTCCCATACTGTAAACTCAAGAACCCAGAAAGAAATAGTGAAATAATCTGATGGTTTCCATGGCAGTGTCCACAATAAAAATGGCAGGTCCACCTTCTGTATTAGGACTTTTCTATCAAAACAAGCCCATAGGAGATAAGCTCAGAATTGTCAGTGACTTACTTTGCTTAGTGTGACAATACAAGGTACATTATCTACATTAAGTCGAATACAATCAAAAGGATCATCAGAAAGTTCAATTTCCCGTCCACCTTCATCCTCCAAAACACGTACTTTGGGTATTCTAAAGAAAGCAGAAGGTGATGTCAAATTAAGATGTCATTTCTGCACATACTGCCACATGAAATCATTCCAATTCCTATTCATATGCTGAGATTAGTTTCCGAAGATAGATCCTATTAGCTTTCATACTCCAGAAGAGCATCTCACCCAACACCAAAACAATTAAGAGAACATTAGTTTGCGAAAGGGATACAGTGGTACCCCGCAAGACGAACGCCTCGCAAGACGGAAAACCCGCTAGACGAAAGGGTTTATCCGTTTTGGAGGGCTTCGCAGACGAAGTTCCCTATGGGCATTGCTTCGCAAGATGAAAGCCATCAGAAATCTCCGGACAGCGGGGAAGCGCCTCTGCTGTCGCCCGCCACGACAATTTTAAAAAGCCCGGAATGCGGGGGACTTCTCTCGCTGTCCGGGGCGATCTTAAAATGTGGTGGGCGGGAAGCGAAGGCCTCCGCTGTCCGCCCGCCAGCATTTTAAAAAGCTCCGGGACAGCAGGGGATTTCCGCTGTGCGGGGCAATCTTAAATGCTGGCGGGCGGAGCGAAGCTCGCGCTGTCCCGCCCGCGAGCATTTTAAAAAGCCCGGGACAGCGGGGGACTTCTCCAGCTGTCGAGGGCGATCTTAAATGTCCTGGCGTGCGGGAGCGAAGCCTCCGCTGTCGCCCGCTCAGCATTTTTAAAAAGCCCCGGGGACAGCGGGGGACTTTCCGCTGTTCGGGGCAATTTAAAAGCCCCGGACAATGCCGATGCCCGGGGGCGGGCGGAAACGCCTCCCCCCCACCGCTGGCAGCGGATCTCAGCGTGCGCAGGCTTCGGCATGCGGCACCTGCTCCGCAAGCAGCGGCAGCGCTGCGCTGCTTGCGGAGAGGTCTCGCGAAAGCCTGGGGCGGACAGCTTTTGAAGGCAGGCGGGGGGGGAAGCCAAGACTTTCGCCCCTCGCCAGCCTTCAGAAGAGGTCCTGGACCTCTTCTGAAGGCCAGCGGGGGGCAAAAGTCTTTGCTCCCCCCTGCCTGCCTTCCCGGGAGAGCGGAGAAACGCAGCGCGTTTCTCCGCTGTCCCGGAGGGCTTTTGAAGGCAGGTGGGGGGGAGCAAAGACTTTCGCCCCCCCCCAGCCTTCAGAAGAGGTCGGGGGACAGATTGTCCCCGGACCTGGTCTGAAGGCGGTTTCCCTAGGAACGCATTAATTGATTTTCAATGCATTCCTATGGGAAACCGTGCATCGCAAGACGAAAAACTCGCAAGACGAAGAGACTTGCGGAACGAATTAATTTCGTCTTGCGAGGCACCACTGTATAGCTCAGTGATGGAGCATCTTTCTAAGAGGTACAGCTTTTTAACCTGGCAACATGAGGGGGAAAACCACACCATATTTATCATTTTAAAAGGATATATTGTGATTGTAGTTAGTGCAGAAATGGCAATTATCTTCGTTGTCGTTGGTCAGTAAGCAGTTTAAAAAATAAAAATAGGAAGAGACCCAATTCATTTTCCAAATAGGGAGGTTTTCCACAAAATTGCAGGGTGTGTGTGTGTTCTTTTCCTTATCTGAACTTTTTAAAAAATGGAAGCTGTATCAGCAAATGATTTAGAGCAGCTTCCCATCTGTAAAAAAAGAAAAGGCACATTCCCAGCATAATACAGTTCATTCCATTCTAAAGCTGAGGTCACTTAAAATAAACAGCCAAGAACTGTTTTGGACTGCTTTTCAAAGCAGCTGTGCCAAAGTGTTATGTAGCCTTTATATAATATAATGAGAAACAAAACAAAAGGCAAGATGTTTTCAACCAGGCTGTTTGGCAGTTAGGAAGCCTGATGGAGTTACAGCAGCCCTGAGATGACAAAGGGCAGTACAGTGGTACCTCAGGTTACATACGCTTCAGGTTACAGACTCCGCTAACCCAGAAAGAGTGCTTCAGGTTAAGAACTTTGCTTCAGGATGAGACCAGAAATTGGGCTCCGGCAGCGCAGCAGCAGCAGGAGGCCCCATTAGCTAAAGCGGTGCTTCAGGTTAAGAACAGTTTCAGGTTAAGAATGGACCTCCGGAATGAATTAAGTACTTAACCTGAGGTACCACTGTATATAAATCAATCAGACAGACAGACAGACAAACAAACACTAAAGAAGGATGAGGAACACTGGAGAATTCCCCCTACCCCCTTCCTTGGGCTGGGCAATTATATATTGATATATCATCAAAAACCGGTTTGAAGTCCATATATTGATACCGGTTTCATAATTTTTGACCTGGCAACATATCGTGAATCATGGGGTGTGGGTGTGTGATGCACAAATCACAATATGGGAAAAACCTTGAAGCCAGCCAATGCTTTTCTTCATTCCTGCAGCCCCTGCTATCTCTGCTGATTCCATTCTCCCCTGTCTCCTGCAGGAGACAGCGAATCACAAGAGCAGGCGCCGGCAAAAAATCAGGATGCAGGAAAAACCATGATGCCAGCCAATGCCTCTACATAGCTCCATCCTTATTTCAGACATCGTGATATCTTGGTATATTACGATGTTTAGCTGGTGATAAATCATGATACTGAAAACCAGATATCACCCAGCCCTAGTGTTCGCCTCTACACAGTTCCATCCTTATTCAAGACATCATGATATATCAATATATCGAACTGATTAGCTGGTGTGATATTGTGATGGTGAAAACCAGCTATCGCCCAGCCCTACTCCAACCCCTGCCATCCCTCCCAGCCCTTTCAAATTTATTCAGTCAAACTGTACCTGAAATGACTAGAGATTAATTCTGGTTATATGCATGTTTCCTGCTTGTCTGGATCTACCACAGCCATGTGTCTGCGCAACCAAGAGTACATTTTATATGTAAATTAAACCTGTTGTGTCCTATCCAGCTGACCAACAAGAAGTGGTGCAAAGGTGTGCGATGGGAACAGGGTCTCTGTTGCGGCGTTGGGGGATATCTACCCTGGAGCCGTTTACCTTCCCGCTGGAGCGGTACCTATTTATCTACTTGCACTTTGACGTGCTTTCGAACTGCTAGGTTGGCAGGAGCAGGGACTGAGCAACGGGAGCTTACCCCGGCGTGGGGATTCGAACCGCCGACCTTCTGATCGGCAAGTCCTAGGCTCTGTGGTTTAACCCACAGCACCACCCGCGTCCCAAAAACCTTTTGGGAGATGATATATAATGAAATGAAAAAACATGTTCAAAATAATGTTTGTTTAAAAAACCAGCTGCTTTTTATTAGGAATTATAGGTTCCTAGATTCCAAAGGCTCGGAAAAGACTATTTTATGTATGCGACAATGGCCTCACGGATGTTATTAGCCCAGAGGTGGAAAGAAGAAAGTCCTGACCAGGGAAGAATGGCAAACCAAGTTGATGGAGTATGCCAAAATGGCAAAACTAACTGGAAAGCTCAGGAACCAAGAGGACAAGAACTTTGGGGGGAAATTTATAATTTATTTAAGAGACCATTGTAAGCAAATGGAAACATTGGCAGGATTTTAATCTCACTTGTAAGGTAACAAAAACTACGGATAAACTAGATCAGGGGTCTGCAACCTTTAAGACAAAAAGAGCCACTTGGACCCGTTTCCGAAGGAAAAAAAACTGGGAGCCGCAAAACCACTGCGACATTTAAAACAAATATAACACTGCATATATTGTTTCTTACCTTAATGTCCAATCTGACAGTGGGCGGGAAGGTGACGTCGGGACAGTGCGTGACTAATGCACGCACCGCCCCCATGCGACGTCACAGCCAGTACAGCGCCCGCCACAGTGGGGAGTGTCGGGGCGCACAATGCGCCTCCTCCCCTCGCTAGTATCCGCCCCGGAGCCGCGGCAAAGGTGTAAAAGAGCCACATGCGGCTCTGGAGCCGCGGGTTGCAGACCCCTGAACTAGATGGACAAAAATGTGGATATGCAGTTGCTTGCGGTGAAATTGGAGGGGATGGGGAAGTCTCGAGATTCAGAGAAATCTTTTTATATGGCTTTGTAATTGATTTTGTTGTAAATTTTTATTTTAAAATCAAATAAAAATTATTTTCAAAAAACCAAGAAACAGACAAAAAAACTAGCTTTGGGAGGTTGTAAAGGGTTGAATGAGGTAAAAACAAACTAGAGACAATCCAGACAAGACGGAAGTGCTATGCGTGGGCGATTGATGCATCCAGGAGTTGGGAAAATTACCTGTCCTTAATGAGGCTGCACTCTTGTTGAAGGAGCAGGTGTATAGGTTTGAGGTGCTCGTGGAACCATCTTAGTCCACTGAGTCCCCGGTAGCCTCAGCAGATAGGAGTGTCTATATCCAGTTTCAGCTGGTGCACCAAATGGCTTCTGACATCTTAAAGCAGGCATAGGCAAACTTCAGCCCTCCAGATGTTTTGAGGCTACAATTCCCATCATCCCTGACCACTGGTCCTGTTAGCTAGGGATGATGGGAACTGTAGTTCCAAAACATCTGGAGGGCTGGAGTTTGCCTATGCCTGTCTTAAAGATTAACACATTTAATTATGGCATAAACTTTCTTGGACGAGAGTTCACTTCGAAGGGGGGGGGCTGCTGCAAGTAGTGAATTCAGAGATGAGTGGCATGCAAAAATAACAGACAGTGAGATTTCATTAGAACTGGACGGATGGAAAATATGCAAAGTGACCTGTAACAGCAGCAGTGACAATGAAACAGCATCTGTGATTGTCTCTATTTGCCACTGTCTGTAGTTTTTGCACTTTATGTCCTTCTAATCTCACCAATTAAAAAGCAGAGACATCACCTTGCCAACAAAGGTACGTATAGTTAAAGCCATGGTTTTCCCAGTAGTGATGTATGGAAGTGAGAGCTGGACCATAAAGAAGGCTGATCGCCGAAGAATTGATGCTTTTGAATTATGGTGCTGGAGGAGACTCTTGAGAGTCCCATGGACTGCAAGAAGATCAAGCCTACCCATTCTTAGGAAAATCAGCCGTGAGTGCTCACTGGAAGGACAGATCCTGAAGCTGAGGCTCCAATACTTTGGCCACCTCATGAGAAAAGAAGACTCCCTGGAAAAGACCCTGATGTTGGGAAAGACTGAGGGCACAAGGAGAAGGGGACGACAGAGGACGAGATGGTTGGACAGTGTTCTTGAAGCTACCAGCATGAGTTTGACCAAACTGCGGGAGGCAGTGGAAGACAGGAGTGCCTGGCGTGCTCTGGTCCATGGGGTCACGAAGAGTCGGACACAACTAAACGACTAAACAACAACAACAATCTCACAGATTACACAAACACACACACAATATGCATATATAAATACGATTGAGGATTACACTTGACGTGTCTGATGAAGTGGACCCTAGTCCGCAAAAGCTTATACCATAATAAATTTGTTAACTTGTTATGGCGCCAGAACACATTGTTTTGGCTGCAACAGAGACCTTGCCATTTTCCTCCGCAAGTTTCTTTTAGAAAATTACGTGTGCCTTACCTGGTATTAAACAGTGCTGCCTTCACTGCAACAGAGATGGCATCAAACAAGTTCCCACCACACTCCAGTAACTGAAACGTTAAAAGAAGAAGTGTGTTTTACATGAATAGCCCATTCAGTTATATCAATCCTAGAACTATACGTGATAATCTGATTCTGGCAGATAGGCTCGTTCTTATCTTGACTTTTTAAATCAAGATACAGTCCTGAATGAGCAAAGGCTGACAATGAGGTTCAGGGTTGCGATGGCGTTTAAACTATCTGCCCTGACTTTGAGACAGAAACAATCTCATCAGAATTCAACCCGTCAACGGCCCGAGGAAATCTCTGAATATCTAGTTTCAATTAAGCTGAAGTTTGTTTTACTTACCAGGACATCGACGTAAAGCACCCAGCAGTGCTCTCGGGGAGCAATGCAAAGCAACTTCAAGTCAATGCTGCTCTCGTTGTTAAAAATTCTGTAGAGGGTATTTGCTATTTCGGTGCCCAGCTCCTCTCCACCGCGGCCCTCAAATTCAGGAGTGGCATTGGCTGAGCTGAAAGGAAGAAATAAAAAATCAAAGCAGTTTTCACCTTTCAGGGATCTACGGCTCAGCACAGGACATTAAATCCCGCCCTTTCCCTAGGAATAAGATTTAATAAACCAAAATAATAAAGGGGACAGAGAGAGCTATTGATTACCTGAAACAGGCAATAACATAGTTTGGTATCTCAGCTCCAGTTCTTTGTTACAGTCTAACTACTGTGGTTTGACGGAAGTTAAGAACAATTGCTTTCTTCCATGTTCAGGTTAAGAATAAGGAAAAGAAAATTGCATGGCTAACAATATAGCCTGTTAAACATGACAGGGGGAGAGAACAGATAACCTGACAGGAAGACTGGCATATTTTTAATTGGCCTCTCCTGTCCTGGGTATTTCTCTACTGAAAAAGTCTCATTGCCTTCAACAAGCGTCAGTCGTGATGGGCTCTAATCTTTTAAAAAATGCACACACAGTTTCAAATATGCAAGGCAAAAATCAGCCTATTAGAAGCTATTCCAGCAGAAGAATCAGCATTACACTGTGCAGCGTACTAGAAGCCTGCAGCTTTCAGTGCTGCCCATCCTATTTCCTCCCATCTCCTACCTGGATTTAGAAGCTCTCAGGTCCACAACAGGTAGGAGGAGTGGCTGCAAGGACCAGCTCCTTTTCCTCCTCTGTAAGGAGACAAGTCAACAGCCCCTCACCAGTGCTTGGCATCCATTTGACTCTAAGCCAGGAAGAGTTATTGGGCTATTGTTTCGTTCTTGTTTTTGTTATGTATTTTGTGTTTTTATCTTGTGTTTTTATGCTGCAAACCACCCTGAGATCTTTAGATGAAGGCCAGTATACAAATGTAACAAAAAACAAAACAAAACAAGAGAGTCACAAGCCATTGCAGCAGGAGAGGCACTGCACCAACACTCGATGAAGGAGGGTTTGAGCGCCTCTGGCGAAACAATCATAGCAGTCTTCACCATTGGAGGATCTTGTAGTGGTTGGGAGTTACTCGTGCGTAATCCTGCTCCGTTTGAGCCTCGGATTGCCTGGTTAAACCCTCCGGACTACGCAGCCCATCTTAGCGTGGCTGCTCTTAGTCACTCGTAGAATCTGTCTGTGGGCGTTTCTTAAAGCGTTGCCAACATAAGAGTTGTTTGACGCCCAATCGTTTCCGCCTCTCACTGCGCGGGAGTCTCCTGCGCAGGGTGGGCAGTGGGGTGCTTGGGCTCTCCTCGCTAACTTCCAATGAAGAGTCCTGGAGTCCCTGCACCTCCCTGTCCCGTTGCTCTCCCTGATCCCTGTCGTTACACTCATTCTCTTCCCCTTCTTCCTGGCTGAGTCTCCCTCTAGCGCTTGGACCTTCCCCTGCAGACTCAGAGACCCTCTCCTTCTCCCGTGCCTCTGATGGCAGTTCCCTGACAGATCTTAATAAAAGTTTTAACTAAACAAGTAAATCTGCATACTTTCAAAGATTATGCTTGCCTATCTGCAGTTAGAAAAATAAAATTAAGTACTTGTACATTGCCCTGGGACACGGGTGGCGCTGTGGGTTAAACCACAGAGCCTAAGGCTTGCCGATCAGAAGGTCAGCGGTTCGAATCCCCGCAACGGGGTGAGCTCCCGTTGGTCGGTCCCTGCTCCTGCCAACCTGGCAGTTCAAAAGCACGTCAAAGTGCAAGTAGATAAATAGGTACCACTCCGCCGGGAAGGTAAACAGCGCTTCCATGTGCTGCTCTGGTTCGGCCGAAGCGGCTTAGTCATGCTGCCCACATGACCCGGAAGCTGTACGCCGGCTCCCTCGGCCAGTAAAGCGAGATGAGCGCCGCAACCCCAGATTTGTCCGCAACTGGACCTAACGGTCAGGTGTCCCTTTACCTTTTTACATTGCCCTAATATTTCACGATATGGCAGTGTGTAACTACTCTGCTGCCCAACTACTCATAAGAATAGTTACCTACGGCCATATCATGAAATACTAGGGCAATGTACAACAATAAAACACACAGCATGATTAAAAACAGCGATGTAACAATAAAAGTGACTGTTAAATCAAAACATCTTAAATAGCTGTACAGGTCTAAGGGCATAAAAATGTCTTACTGGTAGTGCACAACTTCACCTTGTCAAGCTTCAGATCCCAAGCTCCACATTTACCAGCAACATTAATGCTTCATTGTAGTTTGTGCATCTCATTTTGCATGGCAGCCAGTATACCACTTCCTAAGCAGTCAGTTTGCACATCATGGTAAAGCATAGATAACGGCTGTGTGCAGGGTTTATCTCTCCTCCTTCCAGGGAGGTGGGGAAAGAGGGGGGCAATGTGAGGGGAGGAGAGGGGCAATCATTCCATTTGGAAACCTGCAATGCTTGTGCCGACAGAACATTTGTAATAGCGTGGTGCTGAATTCCACCCTCTGAACATGGCGATAAGATTGCTTCAAATTGGTCCCCCTCTTAGCAGAAGCTGATGCCAAAAAAACCCTATGGTCCCTGGCTTAGTGATCTGTCCAAACTGGGGACCAGTTTTTGTTTGTTCAATCAAGCTGCGGTTGGTAAGCCAAGGACAAACATGGTTTGTTTGGAGACAGAAGCTGGGGATCATGGTCTGTTGCTCCTACTCAAGCTGGGAAAGAAACTAAAGAAGGAGTATTTTCTCATTCACAGCAAACAATTTGTTGTTGTTGGTTAGTCGTGTCCGACTCTTCGTGACCCCATGGACCAGAGCACACCAGGCACTCCTTATGCGACTGTGTAGCTCTTGGACTGGAGCCTGGCTGCCTCCTGTCTTCCACTGCCTCCCGCAGTTTGGTCAAACTCATGCTGGTAGCTTTGAGAACACTGTCCAACCATTTCGTCCTCTGTCATCCCCTTCTCCTTGTGCCCTCCATCTTTCCCAACATCAGGGTCTTTTCCAGGGAATCAGGGTCTTTTCCAGGGAGTCTTCTCTTCTCATGAGGTGGCCAAAGTATTGGAGCCTCAGCTTCAGGATCTGTCCTTCCAGTGAGCACTCAGGGCTGATTTCCTTCAGAATGGATAGGTTTGATCTTCTTGCAGTCCATGGGACTCTCAAGAGTCTCCTCCAGCACCATAATTCAAAAGCATCAATTCTTCGGCGATCAGCCTTCTTTATGGTCCAGCTCTCACTTCCATACATCCCTATGACGTGGAAGCACCAATCATAGCAAACCTTTAAGGGCAGGAGAAGCCGTTGTGGGAGGGACATGGAGGCAACCTCCTAACAGCAGCATCACCGCCACTGCCAAGACAATGTGGGGCAGGACAGAAGCAAGCTGGGACTATGTGAGCACACTGGTGGATCCAACCCACTGATCCTATTTGATGTGCAGCTCCTGCTTCACCACTGTCTTGCTTCGATAGTAAGCAACAGTGCCCCTACTGTTGGGAGGGCAACACATAACTCCCAGTGCTCCCATTAAAGTGGGCCCCTTAGGCATTTATCTTGTCTGCTTTCCTATAGCATGTGTAAGTGTTTCTCAAACTTGGGTCTCCAGCTGTTGTCAGACTACAACTTCCATCATCTCACAGCTGGAGACCCAAGTTTGAGAAATGCTGGCATATATAGCTGAATGGCAGGTACAGGTACTATTTTTCATAACATAGAAAATAGGCAGGATCTTCGCAAAGCATTTATCTCACATTGATTCTTTTTGAGTCAGGCCACAAGCAATTAGTCAGAAATGGAACATTTCTTAATAGTATACTTACAAAGGATCCTTAAAGGTTTCCTAGGGATAAGCAGCTTATATAAAAAACAACTCCGACAATTATCTAATTTACCTGCACTATGCAATTTAGCCTCCAAGCACACTTGATTTTTAAATTGTGGCAAAGTTTTAATAGCCAATTTATATGAATATCAAATCACACAGTCATCTCTAGCGCACTGAGGGAGAGTTTGAAGTTATGTTTAATTAAAGGGCAGATTCACAGTTCTCATAGCAACACCTTGAGGTTGCCTCTTTGAACTTCGGCGTTTTAGAACTTTATTGCAGGATAACATTCCAATTAGAAAGCCAAGTAATATGCTACTCTGTGTCTGTTGCCGCTTCTGTCCATATCACCTTGTGCTAAAGAGACAGAAGCGTCCCCATTATAGACTTACATTCCCCCCCCTCCCCACACCCACAATAGAATTTGTTTAAAAAAGCTATATAGGCACAATCCTGCTCTGGATATGCCTAAAAGCAGGATGCAGAGGCTTGGTGCAAGAGAGCAGGATGGATCAGCCTTCCTCTCCAAATCACAATGATTAAAAGCCAGATACAGTCGTATCTTAAGTTTTCGAGCGCCTTGTGACTCAAACGTTTTGGCTCCCGAACGCTGCAAACCCGGATGTGAGTGTTCCAGTTTGCAAACTTTTTTTGGAAGCCGAACATCTGGAGCGGCTTCCAAATGAGTGCAGGATGCTCCTGCAACCAATCAGAAGCCGTGCCTTGGTTTTCGAACATTTTCAGAAGTCGATCGGACTTCCTGAATGGATTCCGTTCAAGAACCAAGGTACAGCTGTAGTCAAGTCTCCCACAACAGTTGTCATTGCCAAGTGGCAGGTACAAATAGGTTAGACTAGCCTATTAGCCCCATTTAGTTTTTTAAAAAATGTTTTTATTAAAGATTGTCAATTTTATTCAACGTGAGACACTAATGCTATCGACCAGTGGGTCCCAACTTTTTTTTTACCATGCCCCACCTAAGCAACTCTAAAATCCTGATTGCACCCCCCCGCCGTGACATATAATTCTTATTATTCAAAAAGTGAACTCCTATTCACATGGAGGAAGCCTAAAGTAACTGTTAATGACTCATTCTCGAATTGCCCCCTTAAAAATCAAATTGCCCCTCTGTGGGGCATGTGCCCCATGTTGGGAACCATGACTATAGACAGTATAAAGCTGGGGGAGAAGACGGGTGAGGAAAAGGGGAATAGTACACTTCCATTCTTTTACAAAGTGCATGTGCAAGGTTTGTGTGTCAGTGTCACATATGTAGGTTCCATTCATTCATTAGTTTTCATTGGCATGGTTGGTTGCCCCTGGTGGACTGAAGTGAGTTTTGTTTGAGTGTGTGAGCAGGAGGCTAGCCCCACCTAGTTCATTGAAAGCGGAGCTGTCCCCCTATTCACGCTGCCCTTTCACTTTCACCGCAGAAGCTGCACTTTATCCATATTCTTTATCAATAACCACATCATGAGCAGTTGGAATAACTATGAACATTCCAGGATACTGTAGCGCAGTGATGGCCAAACCTGGCCCTCCAGCTGTTTTGGGACCACAACTCCCATCATCCCTAGCTAACAGGACCAGTGGTCAGGGATGTTGGGAATTGTAGTCCCAAAACAGCTGGAGGGCCAAGTTTGGCCACCACTGCTAGTGGTTCTGCCAATGGTAGGGATTCTCACCAATGTCAGCCAGCTATTAGAAATTGGGCATGCGCGTCTATCTTACATATGAATGCCTGGTCAAGGTTTCATGTGTGAAGGTTTAAGAAATCCAGAAAATGATTTCATCCCGCCCTGTACCCCAAGATTTAGGAAAATTATATTAATTAGACCTAAATCAAGTTAGTATCAACCTTGTATGTGTTTGCCATGCTCTTCATAACTGGTTGCCCACTCTCCTGGCACAGATCCCTGAAGTCACTCTTAAACATGCAACCACAAGCAAGAGCGCCAACCTCGTTTCTCATCTCAACAACGCGTATCAACATACACATTAAAAATTTTGGTGGAAGACTCTGCTCCTCAATTTTATCTTACATTAGCTCAGAAAGTGCAGGAGGGACCAGGACAGCAATTCAAAACGAGTTAATGATTTGACAACCCTTTAAAATGGAGAGGAGGAATTGTCAAAATGCTCCAGGTGTTCAAAAACGCTCAGTTAGCACCACCTAGCGGCAGGCCAATAATGTGCCAGAGATTGAAACCCCACCATTTCTAATTGTGGCAGAGAAGGCTCTACAGTTGCTTTGAGCATGCACAGTAAAAAATAAATAAAATGAAGTTTTTGAGCAATTTAAAGGAAACACAGACATAGCTCATAGTGCGGTGAATGTCTTGTGTGAGTGTCTGGAGGCGGTTGAGGATGGATGACGGCTAATCCTGACAAGACAGAAGTACTGTTTTGGGGAGACAGGGGGTGGGTGAGTGTGGGGGACTCCCTGGTCCTGAATGGGGTAACTGTGCCCCCGAAGGACCAGGTGTGCAGCCTGGGAGTCATTTTGGACTCACAACTGTCCATGGAGGTGCAGGTCAATTCTGTGTCCACGGCAGCTGTCTACCACCTCCATCTGGTACACAGGCTGAGACCCTACCTGCCTGCAGACTGTCTTGCCAGAGTGGTGCATGCTCTAGTTTATCTCCCGCTTGGACTATTGCAATGAGCTCTACGTGGGGCTACCTTTGAAAGTGACCTGGAAAATACAACTAATCCAGAATGCGGCAGCTAGACTGCTGACTGGGAGTGGTTGCCAGACCATATAACACTGGACCTGAAAGACCTACATCGGCTCCCAGTACTTTTCTGAGCACAATTCAAAGTGTTGGTGCTGACCTTTCAAGCCCTAAACGGCCTTGGCCCAGTATACCTGAATAATAATAATTATTATTATCAGCTTTGCAAAGTGGTGTTATTGGGATGGGGCAAGGGTTTGGCCAACCATTGATTCACTGGTCCAGCTTCCAGAAAGGGACCTGAGATGGGAGTCATCTACTGTGCCAGCCTAGATCTGGCATAGCAAAAAGAAAGAAAGAAAAAACATGCCTCCTTTCAGTCTTGGTCTATAGCATCTGGCATGTCTTCAGAAGAAATGCTGCTCTGAATCTCATTGGCTCCTCTGCCCAGGGCTTATTTAATTTTTTTGACTGCATGTACATCTCTGGGCAGTATCTTGCTAACTACCAATGTCACCTTGAGAAATGCAAATTGCAGCAGAGAACTGAATGCAGTGTTTACTCTGGCGAAGAAGGCAAGGTCATCATGGTGAAGGAAACTAATGAGGTACCACCACCATCAGCAGCAGGCGAAAGGGATTTGCAGAAAGGAATAGCCTACAGAGATCTGGTGAGGACTAGAAGGTTCTGTGTGTCCATTTTAGGAAAGGGTGGGACACTGGCCATGAGCAGAAGGAAGTAAAGAAATGAACTGCCAAATGCAAAAGATGGGGAAAGAAAAGGCAAACAGGCAGTCAAAATAATGATTTGTTATCTGGCATTCTGAAATCCTTATAAAAAAGCAAACACAAGAGCATATAGTCCTGCAACTAGCATCACTTTAAGGTTGCTGGTATTTAGTTAAATAGACCCCCCTGTGGCCCATTTTGCACTAACCAATCAACAAAGAATTCCAAGTATCCTTCATTTGGTCTATCCAGCTTCGGTGCTCCCATTTCTGCCTTGACTCCAACCAGGATGTCTGTGTGCCCCTGTTGAAATAACAGCACTCTTTACTTTCTGTGTCAGTCAGTACTACCCAATATTTCTCCTTAAAAAAAAAAGCCTTGAAAACACAATGGCAAACCTTTGAAGCACTTTAAAGCATTTAAAGGGCCAACCACTGTAGACACGCACTGCTAATAACAGCACTGAGTCTGATAGACTGTGAGATTAACATTGTGAATATTTGTTGTTCACAGTGCTTTTTTTTCTAGAAAAACAGGTGCTGGCACTCATCATAAAAATTGTTATAGTAAGTGCCACACTTTTTAACAACAAAAAGTGGTGCAGGTACTGCATATCCTTGAATACCCTGTAAAAAAGTACTGGTTGTTCAATATAATAATCCAATCGCTTTTCTGACAATTTACTTCTTCAGTCCCCTTTCCTGCAAATCTGTCTCCTCCACCCCCTCCCTTTTGATCCCTGCTTCTCACACCAATGCTTATTTTGTCTTCCTCCACTCACCCTTGCTTTTAGGTTTCCTGTTGCTTGGTTCCAAGACATTTTGGGTCTTCCTCTCACTGAGCTTGCCACCCCTTAGCTTCCTTCTATGTTAGGTATTCAGCCAACCCTTTCCTCGTTTCCTCCAACAGCAACCAGCCCCTAAGGCAGGCTTCCTCAACCTTGGCACTCCAGATATTTTTGAGACTACAATTCCCAGCGTCCCTGATCACTGGTCCTGCTAGCTAGGATCATGGGAGTTGTAGGCCAAAAAACATCTGGAGGGCCGAGGTTGAGGAAGCCTGCCCTAAGCCAACATCCTTTTCTCATTCATACTAACCTTTCATTTTCCATACTGTATGCCATCCTTCTATTCCTTAAATACTACTGGGTGTTTAAGAACACAATTTTGCCAACTCAGTACTAACTGGGGAGTAATGGGCCACTATAACAGAATTATTAGTCTTGCATCTGGCTCTCCTTTCTATTTGTGTTCTACATGTTAATGTGACAGATCTCTCTCCTGCACTGTAAATGAACAATACATTTCCTGTACCACAAAAACATATGCCACTATAAATGAGTTACTTTTTCAGGTGCCACCAGACTGCTAGGGCAGGGCAGACCCAAACCATGTTTTAGCACTGTGCAGAGTGAGCTTCAATGAAAAACACACAATATCATTAGCAATGTATAGAAGTCCCCGCTAGGCGTACTTACAAGTTTTACTCTGGCAGACCCACTTGTATTAGATACTACATCTGTTTCCACTTCTGTACATCTGTAATCTTCACAACCACGGCCATCCACCCGAAGATCCTCCTGAAACAGTCATTTATCACAATGTGTTACCCAATGCCATTGATTGATCACACAAATAAATGTTGCTGAGCAAAGCAGACAAATGCATATTATTCACAAGCTTGTGATTATGAGTGAATGCCATCTCTCTCTCTCTCTCTCTCTCATTAAATTTTCTAATGTACATTTCAAAATATGTTAAACAACCTTAAATCAATGACTTCCCTTCTTCTCTTTCCATGGTTCATTTTGCATACCATACATCCCTGCATGTTTTACATGAACTAAACCATTCAGTAATCCACTGTTACAGCCCTCGAAACTTATTTACACTATTGAATTTATTTTAATGCTACCAGTATTTTTAAATAAACACAATTTTCACCCATATATTCAATAAACATTTTCCAAACTTCTTTGAATGTACGTTCTTGTTGTTCTCTTATTCTATAAGTTAAATCTGCAAGCTGCGCGTATTCCATCAGTTTAAGTTGCCATTCTTCTTGGGACCTCACTCGTTTTCCATTTTTGGGCTAACAAAACACAGGCTGCAGTAGTAGCATACATAAATATGCTACTACCCAGGGAAGTTTGCCTGGCGCCTTCACTATACACCTTTAGGCGCCAGGCAAAAATGTTCCTTTTTAATCAGGCCTTTGCCTGATTTGATCTATATCCTATACAGTGGTACCTCGGGTTACAGACGCTTCAGGTTACAGACACTTCAGGTTCAGGTTATGTGAACCGCTCTGAGACCTTTGTGTATAGGGCAGTATAGAAATGAAATGAAATTAATAATAATAATAATAATAATAATAATAATAGTCTTTTTTGACACCTGGGAATTTCCCTCTGAATTATCCCCCCCAAAAAAAAGGACTCTGGTTTTTTTTTTGGAAAGGTACTTTTAAACATTTTTTTCAATTTTCCACCTTGGCTGGAAGAAAAATCCACATCTGGCAACCAATGCGCAAATTTGGTTTCTGATAGTACCAAAGGTCTAAAAAGCCTGAGATTTTCACCGTCCTCTTAAGGCCATGGCACTCATTTACCAAAAGCAATGTATTTAGCATTAACTTTGGAAGTGTATACTTGATTCTGACCAAACAAAGCCTCCTGGAGCAAAAGGCAGTGTGGTGCAGTGGTTAGAGCAGAGGTGCACAGCCTGCTGCCCTCCAGATGTTGTTGGACTACACCTCCCATATCCCTGATCACTGGCTATGATGATGGGAGGTGTCAGACTAGGACCATGGTTCAAATCCCCATTTAGCCAGGAAGCTCACTGGGTGACCTGGAGCCAGTCACTGAACCTCAGTCTAGCGTAGCTGACAGTAGTAGGGTTCCCATCTTTGTTTTGGCAAAATGCAGGACGGGATGAGGTGGCTGAATTATTTTTGCAGCCTAACAGGATGGCCCCTCTGGAATATGTCACAAACAAATGCACGGATTTGTAAATCTGTCTGTGCTTTGCTACCCAGAGCTTAAATACATAACCTTTCACACACCCTTGGAGACATGTGTATTTGGAGAGAGAGAGAGAGAAAAAAAGATCTGAAATAACAGAACAAACTGCACCCCATATTAATCAGGATGGAGCATTTTTCATTGAAACACGGGGCAATCCTGTATTATACAGGGCAGGTTGCAGCCCAGCCTCACAGGGTTGTTGTGGAGACTGAACCATCCCCCTTGAGTCCCATGGAGAAACAGGTGGGCTATAAACGCAATACATAAAATAATAATAATTATTAATAATAATAATTTGTAACTGAACGGGGCAGGTGGCAGCCCAGCCTCACAGGGTCGTTGTGAGGAATTGAATGAGGAGGGGAAGAACCATCCCCCTTGAGTCCCATGGAGAAAACAGGTGGGAAATAAATGCAAATAATAATAACAATAAAGTAACCGGCCCCAGACAGGCCTCCAGCCCCGCCTCAGTTACCTGGACGCCGTGCATGACGTACACTTTCTCCGCCTCGCTCAGCACCACCGACGCCATGGCGAGGACACCCTCACGCGCATGCTCCGCCCTCCGAACGCCGCGCGCCCGGCTGTCGCCATCAGCGAAAGGGCGCCCACTCCCTGCTTACCCACTTCTCCGGCGCTGTCTGATGACGCCCTCGCTCCTTCGCGCCCCCTCCACACCTGCTTCCTGACCGCGCAGGCGCAGGCGTCCTCGCGCCTTTCCCGCCGAGCGGCTGGGCTTAGCGCACGCGCGTTGCGGATGCCCGGAATAATCTCTTTTAAAAGTGAGCGGTTGTTTTTTTTTGGGACGCAAGTGACCGGTCAGTTCGCTCGTGTTTACTTCCGAGTAAGCGCAGGCGAGCCTGTGCATGGCCTCACGGTGGCTACAGCGCTTCAGCTGTTGTCGGACTACAACTCCCATCATCCCTCAGCGTTGGTCCTGCTCGCTAGGGATGATGGGAGTTGTAGTCTTAACAATGGCTGGGGACCCACGTTTGAGAAACGCTGCGAGTTTAATGCCCAGTTTTCAGTTCTCGAGAAATCCTATGCCAGCCAAGGGAATGGATTCAGGGCAAAGGCAAGAAACCTCAGCCTGCCCTCAGCAATACAGTGGTACCTTGGTTCTCAGACTTAATCCATTCCAGATGTCCATTCCAATACCAAAGCGTTCCAAAACCAAGGTGTGCTTTCCCATAGAAAGGAATGCAAAACAGCTTAATTCGTTCCAGACTTTTAAAAACAACCTCTAAAACAGCAATTTAACATGAATTTTACTATGTAATGAGGCCATTGATCCATAAAATGAAATTAACAATCAATGTACTGTACTATAAAATAAACAAGACAGTATTGTATATGATAAAAAAAAAAAAATTTTTTTTTACTGCACTGTTGATAGTCTTTGTTTGGATGGGGGGCTTTTATCCATTTCCGCAGTCACACAATCTATCAATCAACAGCTGAACTGGGTTCCACACAGTCACAAAAGCAAATTAACCAAAAAAGCCTCAAAAATGCAAAATAAATAGCAAAAACAAAATCGCCCTAAACAGTGGTACCTTGGTTCTTGAACTTAATCCATTCCGGAAATCTGTTTGACTTTCAAAATGTTCAAAAACCAAGGTGTGGCTTCCGATTGGCGCAGGCGCCCCAGAAACAATAACTGACAGCCGCATTGGACATTCGGCTTCTGAAAAGCATTGGAAAACCAGAACATTTTGTGTTGTCATTATTTTCCTATGCTGAACCGCCCTGGGATTCTTGGGTCATCAGTTTGACAATAATAAATGCCTCTTTTTCTCCCTGGCATTTAGCTGATTAAGCATTTTGTGGCCTTTTAAATGTATTTGTGTGGTTTATTATTGGTTCATTATTATTATTATTATTGGTTTGTTTTTGTTTTGTGCTGTTTATTATTAGATGATGATGATGATTGGTTTATTTTTGTTTTGTGCGGTTTATTATTGGATGATGATTAGTTTATTATTATTATTGGATTATTATTATTATTATCGGATTATTATTATTATTATTATTATTATTATTATTGGTTTATATTTTTATTATGTATTTTGTGATGCCATTGTTATTTTTCTATGGTGAACTGCCCTGGACTCTTCTGGCGAAGGGCGGTATAAATTTATAATATAAAACAAATAACAATGAAGCAACAAAACCTTTCTTTGTAACCAGGCCTTGGGCTAAATAATAATAATGATAATAAATAATAGTAATAATGATAATAATAATAATAATAATAATAATAATAATAATAATAATAATAATACCAAATTACTTATACTCCGCCCATCTGACTGGGCCTCCCCAGCCACTCTGGGCGGCTTCCAACAGGATACTAAACCTCCTAAGGCCTTTTCAATGTGTTTCAAGTGTGTGTGTGAGTTTCTCGCTGGCTTTTGCTTTTATTCCGTATTTTGTGTCTTTTTCCCCCTGTGGTGAACCGCCCTGAGCTCTTCCAGTGAAGGGCGGGAACTAAAAAAAGGGCGGCGCTCGGAGCACCCGGAACAATTGACCCGCGCACAACGCCGGGCAGCGAAGGGACGCCGCCTCTCTGGCAAGAGGAAGAATCGGATGGGGAGAGGGCGTGGCCTCTAGGGAAGAGGAGGAGTCGGATGGGGAGGGCGTGGCCTCTAGAGAAGAGGAGGAATCGGACGGGGGAGGGCGTGGCCTCTCTGGGAAGAGGAGGAAGCGGATGGGGAGAGGGCGTGGCCTCTTGGGAAAAGGAGGAGTCGGACGGGGGAGGGCGTGGCCTCTCTGGGAAGAGGAGGAAGCGGATGGGGAGAGGGCGTGGCCTCTGCGCTGCTCACTTCCTGGTTCCTTCTCCTCCTCTCCCGCCCGCCCCCGGGAGCGTGAATGTAGCGCGTTGGTGGGAGAGGAAGGTGTAGAGGCGCGCGCTTGCCGGGGCGTCGCGAGCTGCCTTCCGCCGCTGGCGGGGCGGATGGAACGTCTGGCTGGGCGCTGGAAGGTTGACCCGGGAGGCGCGAGCGGCGGCGGCGTGTTGCTTCATCCCCAGCCCTGGTAGGTTGAAGGGAGGCGAGTCTGGAGACCCCGGGGGCGAGGGAGGGGGCTTCCCGGGGCGGGGTGGGGAGGGGGAAAGAATTGGCAGGACCCGGGGGGGTTGGCAGCCGTGGGCTGCTCTGCAGCAAAGCAAATGCACGCGAGGTGGGGGTGCGCGTGTCGCGCGTGCACGTGTGAAGGTGGCTCAGGAAGCCGCGGGCAGGTCCTGGGATGCCGCTTCCTGCAAGGTGAGTCGAGTGTCACACGAAGGGACCTCGCGGGCCATCTAGCCCAACCCCTTGCAAAGGCAGGGTTCTTTTGGCCGATGTGGAACTCGAACCCACGACCCTGAGAATGGAAATATGCTCCCCATATTGAGATATGCTCCCCATACAAGGCCTCTCTCGGCATATGTCCTTTGCAGGCAGTCTTGGGGGCTACTGTGCCAAGTATATGCTGTACAAAACCACAAAATACATAATAAAAATAACAACAACCCAATAACCCCCCCAAAAAAACCCCACATTTTAAAAGGCAGTAGGATTTTAATGTGAACCTACCTAATAGGAACTTTTGGAATCAATATGCCCCCCAAGCCCCATGTGTAGAATGGTAGAGTTAATCATCATCACCAGTGCTTTTTTCTGGGGGGGGGGCGCAGGGGGACGCATACCCCTAAACATTTTGTGAATCTTTGTACTTTTGTCCATTGGCTGTATTGGTTTTTCCCGATTTGAGCTATAAAAATGGTGATTTTCTTGAGTCGAAATGAGAGCACCCCTAAATATTTTTTAGGAAAAAAGCAGGGGCCTTAAACATTTTGTGAATCTAAGTTTGGCCTCATTGAGGGGCAGTATTTCAATATGAGTAGGAAAAGGAGAGCATACCCCTAAACATTTTTAAAGAAGAGAAAAAGCACTGATATACCCTGCCCATCTGGCTGAGTTTCCCCTGAAGGGAGCTGAGGGTCATCTATCTCAACCCCCTGCAATATAGGAGGCCCGTACAGGGGATCGAACCCATGACCTTGGCGTTCTCAGCCCTGCGCTCTTAAACCACCTGAGCTAACCGGTTGGATTGTATGGTACTTGTTTTGGATGAAGTTTAACAGGGAAAGGGGTTGGATGAAACGCTTGAACCGCAGGCTGCTGGCTTGCGTTTGCTGGGCTACATTGCTTGCAATAATAGCAGTAAGAATAATTTTATTATTTATACCCCACCCATCGGGCTGGGTTGCCCCAGCCACTCTGGGCAGCTTCCAACACATACAAAAACGGAATAAAACACAAGAGTTATATTCTTAGGAAAAAGACAGAACTACTCTGTATTTCCTTTGCTAATTTCTGTTAGCAGAAGTTCACGTTCACCTGCTTGGTGATCCTGGTGGAACTATACTACCATACAAATCTACCATCTATCTGTGTTGTGTTAGTTGGTGAAGCGCTGGAATTTGGGAAGACTTTGGTTCAAACAGGGTTCGAAATTATCAAGGCGCATTTTGCACCTAAAGATTCTCCATTTGCGAGCGCCTCCCAAAGTCTGGGTGCCGTTTTTTGCGCTTGGCTGAAACTCAAGAATTACTGAAATGTACGGTATGTGCTTTGAAGCTTCCAAGTTAAGGATAAACAATATATTAAGGAGTTTAACAATAAAGAGTGTTTTGAAAACTCAAGGATGGTACCAATATTTTTATTGTAAACACCAAATTAAACATGTATTAACAATTTCTGAAAAAACGTCGTATTAACAATGTGTCACTTATGTGAATTGCATAGTAGTTCCTGCTTATTAAAATAATAAATAAAAAGTGTTGCCAAATCTCCTGCCCTCGGTGGCGACTAGACATTCAGTTTTGGCACCTACAACCCGGGTCCCAGAAACCATTTGGCTCCTAGCTTTTCTAACACTCGGGTCAAATATCTGCATATCTATGAAGTTCTATTTTTTTAATATTTTATTTTCATTTTAAAAACAATATTCTTATACATTCACATAATTTTCAATTTCTACACTTCTGGGATTACTTAGATCTCTGACTTCTACCCCCACCCCTGGTTTCCAATTTCCCCCAATTTTTTTGCATCTAAGTACATTTTCCCAATTCATATTATCTCCTTTTTTGCCTTAAGTCATATTACAAGTGCTATAACAATCCTCCTAACGTTTTTAAGTACTGTATACACAGCGGTCCTTAAGATATTCTGTAAACTTTTCCCGCTCTTGACTGAATTTCTTGTCCTCTTGGTGCCTGATCCTCACGGTCATCTTTGCCATTTCGGCTTAGTCCATCATCTTGGTTATGCACTCTTCTTTAGTTGGGGCTTTCTATCTATGAAGTTCTCCTGAGTGATGTTGGACTGGTTATCATCTCTCAGCCTGTCTTGCAGGGATAAGGGACGGACTTATATATGCCACCCTGAGATCCTTGTTCAAAGGGCAGGAGGAAAACATACCGTATTTTTCGCCCCATAGGGCGCACCAACCCATAAGACGCACCTAGTTTTTTTGGGGGGGGAAATAAAGGGGGAAAAATTATTTTCCCCCCCCCAAGGCGCTAGGCTGGGGCGGGGGAAGCCTGAGCTTCCCCCGACCCCAGCCCCCAGA